ACAAAAAAAAAAAAAAAAAGAGGATCAGAGATCAGAGGAGGACAGGAGGAAAGATATGAAAGCTCTCCCCATCCGTAGCCCATAGCCACTGCCTAGCCCCCTGAGGCAGCATTTCTGCTAGAAGCTCCCACCTAACTCCCCTGACCCTTATGGAGAGTTTCACGGAGCTGGGCAGGTCTCCAGAGTGAGAGAGACTGGGTGGTGCGCCTGCAGAGCTGTGTGGCCCTGGGCAAACTCCCTAACCTCTCTGTGCCTCACGCATCCTGTTTTTATTAGGATTCCATAAGCAAGGCTGTGCAGAGCGTATTATGTGCTTAGCAAAGATTTATCGAGCACCCTCTGTGTGCCTGTGGACAGAGCAGCGACCACAGTGGCTGAGATTACAGTCTGGGGGCTGGGGTAGGTCAGGGACACTAAACCATAGGGACAGCTCTCCAAGGTGGGGCTGTGAGGGGGGCCAGGAGTTTGAGAGACCAGGACAGGCTGAGCCGTGCCGGCCAGGGATGAGCTGAAGGAGTATTTTAAATCATAAGTTCCAGCAGGCACGAATCAGACACCATTCCGGTGGCTTGCCCGCAGGACTGGATCACCATTTGCAGGGTCCAGTGTGAAACGAAAACTTAGGGCCTCTTGTCCAGACGGTAAGAATTTTAGGACAGCGACACCAGACACTGAAGCCAGCATGGGGGTCTCGGGGCCACCTGGTCACGCACACTCAAAGCCCGCCCTGCTGGCAGAAACTCCTTCCCAGACGATCACTGCCTTTCATGAGCTGAGCAGCCCAAACCAAGGCTGCCCATGGGGTACACCCCTGTACCTCTCTGCACCCTGGGTTCCTCCTCCAGGAGAGGCACAAGCAGCTCTTGCACATGGGACGTGGTCAGTCACTGTCCAACAGCTCCTGAGAGCTGAAAGCCGAGCCATCCAATTCCAAGGCGTCTGTGCTGTCTCGGGCTCAGCCCTTGCAACTCAGGTAGAACAAGTCCTGTCCATCAAATGCTCTGCACTCGAGTTTGTGTGTAAGGACAGGGGTGGGGGCCACAAGCTTTAGGTGGGGTACACACTTAGGCCCCATCTGTGGGGCTATTCTCTGAACCATTCTCTGTCCCAGGGACTCCAAATCCAGGCTTTCCCTTGGAGGTGAGCAAAGCACCCCGCAGATCCATAGGTCCGCAAACACGCCTACCTACCCCACAGCAAACCCAGACAGGAAGGGAAGCTGATTCCCCCTTCTTCTCCTGGAACGGATACTGGCTTAAGACTGTGCACACAGCACTGTGAACCAGGGGGCCATTTCCACCCCTGCTCCAGCTATGGGGTGAGGAGTCTGCTCCCGGCACACATGCACATACCTGCACACTCTAGAGAATCCCCGTTTGTCTTCTGCGTTTCCTTTCTGGGGTGGAGAGACCTGTGTCCCCCCGTACTCTCTCCAGCCCAGAACCAGCTGCAGAGGGAAAGGATCACAGGGCAGGAGGGACATACTTAGAAAAGGAGAAAAAACACTAAGAAAATGCCCCAGAGGACTGTCGAGGCTCTGCACTGCCGTCAGGCTGTCCAAGGTTCTAAGTCCGGTGCCACCGGTTTTGCGCTGTTCGATAACCACAGCTAATGTTTATCAACCACCGGCCCCACAGCAGGCCCCGTATTAAACGCTCCGCAGGCAGAATCCCTGAGGCAGTCACGGAGTGTGGGAGCTGGGTGCCAGCGAGCCGGCGGAAGGCCCCGGGGTGGGAATCTGGGCTGGGGAACGGATTTCCTCCCTGGGAAAAGGAGGCAACACTGCTTCGCAGGCCTGCTGTGGGAAAAACAGACCTGTACTAACACAGAGCAGTGCCCGGCACAGGCTGGGCTGGAAAACATTACTGGATGATGACAAACACTAACATTTTTACTACGCTGTCCTCGTAAATGACAGCATGCGCCATCAGCAGTGTTCCTACTGTTACTTTGTGCCAGGGGAAACTGAGGCCCAGAGGGGCGGTGGCAGAGAAGAGAAGCGCTGTCTCCTAATCCACTGCTGTGTCTACTCCGCCTTTTCTAAAGCGGGGGCCTCGAACTGTCCCAGGTGACGATCCCGCAGGGACGCGGCTCTGCGGTGGCTCTCGGCCCCTGTCGCGGCTGGGTTCAAGGGGCTGCGCTGTGGTGCGGGCAGGCCCAACTGCAGGCTGCTGGCCTCCAGGGACGGCGCAGGCAAACACTGCCTTGGTGGGAAGCTGCTGCCCCAGCTCACAAGCAGGGTCCAAGAGGCGGGGAAGGGCAGGCGAGCTGCCACCCCCCCGTGGGTGCTCTTGACCATGCTGTCCCATGGCTCTACGCTCACTCCTGAGCACCCTGAGTGTGTCGCTGTCCGACTGTTGCTGTCGCTTTGCTCCCTGGGCTCCCGCAAACAGTGAAGTCCTCAGGGGAGGAGCCCATCTCTCCTAGAACAGCTACGTGCCCGACACCTAGCACAATGGCCGGTAGGAATACGTTCACAGGACAGTGGTTCCACTGACACGATCTCGGGGGCAGTCTCCTTCCAGACCCGGGAGAAGGACAGAAGGCTGGAGAGAGGAGTGACTGCGAGCCATGGCTCTGGGACAGACCACTGAACTCCCAGTCCTGGCTCAGCTGTGCGTCCTAGGCAGGACGCTTCACGTACCCAAGGTCTCCAGCATCCTTCCAGGTGCAAAACAGGGATGAGCATCCCTCCGGCGAAGCAGGGCTGCACAGCTTAAAGGAGAAGACACGGCACCAGCAGATCCACAGCCAGGGCCCAACGCAGAGCAAGCGCTCCATCAGAGGGAGCTAGGATTCTGATAAGAGCTGCATGGACAAGCCCGCAAAACCTGCCTGCGAAATGGACCAGGCTGGTTCCCCTCAATCCTGAAATCCTCCCCTGGCTCTGACCTTTGCCGGCCACTGGCTTTGTCTGAAATCGGGTCTGTGGTTTCGCGGACAAGCTTAGCCCTCCTGAGAAGGCTCACAGCGACCCCTGCTGCCCGCTGCTGGGAACTGCCTCCTCCCCCAGCCCGAGTGCACAACAAAGCAAGGGGAGCCCTCCAAGCCGGTTTTCCGTTCGTTTCCAAGGGCTGGCGGGAACTACCGTCAAAACAATGGCAGGGAGAAGAGACTCCGTGCGAAATTATGTTCAGTGGACACTAATTCCCTGTCTTCTCAAAATAAATATAAAGCGAGAGATCAAACACAGCGCTTTTCCCTCCCGTCTTGGTCTTTTGTTTCCCTGGATAAGTGTCATCCTAGATACGCTGCGTAAACAAGTGGAACTGTCATTTCGGCGGGGTACTATTTCCTGATCAACATGTGCTGTTTGCAGCAATCCTGTTTTGATCTGGCAGTTCTTAAATTGGACTCTCTTTTAAAAAGCAGAAGCATGTTAAAACCAGCAGGCGCTTGGGGCTGAGGATACGGGCTCTCCTGTAACGACCTCGCTCACGTACTCCTCTTGACTGGTCTCCCTGGGTGCGGGGAAACGGAAAATGTCCCCCCACAGGTTGTGACCCCATCTCACCAGGCTGTTGCTGCCCCGTGGGGGACCCGGGATCACAGCTAAGACTCAGCTGCTAGGAGCCGGCGGGGATGGCGTCTGCACCAGCACCCGCTAACCACGCCTGTTAATGAACGGCATGCCAGCAGACGGTGTGGCACAGAGGCGAGAGGGATGGCGAGTTTTGAAGCAAATCCCACAAACGGCTCCCTACCCTTTACACCAAATGAGTGCACAGTGGTAGAGTGCATACAAAGATACTTCTTTCTAGTCCCCCAAATACAGGATTTCTAGTTTGCATCCACAACCGACCTTGGTAAGTTAATCCAATGAATAAGATGCTGACCGATGATTTTAACGCAGACCTAGCTCTCTCGATCCCGCAGACCAGGAGGCTGTGGGTTCCGGGGGGCCTCAGACAATCTGTTTGGTTGGGGCTAATTCCAACTGTCATTACATTCTGAGGGCTGGATGGTCTCTCTCTGTGCCACCCAGCACCTGCCTGGGGAGGGCCCTGGCTTTACACCTCTTCCTGTAATGCCCTCCATAGAGATGTCCGATCCAGGGCTTGGCTCTGGGTGCTACCTCACTAATCTCCAATGCTCAACCGTGCAATGTCTCAGCACGGGGGTTGCAAAGTGGTGGCTCTTGGGTTATATCTGGCCACAGACAGAGACTTCGTCCTATACAAATTAATTGCCAACTTATTCCCTCCAAAATCTGGACTGCTGGTTTCTCTTTCGAGATGTGGGAAAACTGGTCTGATTACACCCACCTTTCTGCAGAGCATCACGACTGGCCTTCCAGCTGCCAGTACTCCCCCAGTCTGCTCTTCCAGGTCCCAGAACCTGGAATTTCTGACCCTGTACTAGTGTCTGCTGATAGACGGCATGATTTATACAGGTGATTCATTCTTAATGCAAAATGGCCTCTCCGTAAGTAGCAATGTAGACAGAGGTGCCCAACTCTGGCTGGTGGGTAGAACCAGAACCCCTGGGGAGCTCTGATCAAAATATCAATGTCTGTCCCCTCCCCCGCCCACCCCCCACCAACAAAATCCAGCTCCCTGGGGGTGGGGTCTGAGTAAAGGTATGTCTATGAAAGTCACCAAATGACTCGAAAATACCAAGAAGGCGGAGAACCACTGGCTTAGACCAGAGGAGTGCCTTGGGAGGACGAACCTCAGGCAGAGAGTGGGCAGAGCTGAGCTTCAGCCACGTGGCTCCCGCCCCGACCTGCTATGCGTGCGGATGGAGATCAGCCTCCCTTTCTTTCTGTCTCACCTCTGGAGGAGGCGGCCCGGCTGTTGCGAGATTCTTCTGTGCACTGCTCTGGAAAGCAGTGCGTGAGGTCGAGGCAGATACATCAGAGGCAGCCCAAAGATGACCTCTGAAAGACCACGGGCCGGCCTCTGGCTGAGCCATCAGAGGACCGCGAGGCCACCTCCTCCAAGGATCCGGCGGCCTCCCCACCCACACCCCGCGCCTCGGACCGAACCAGCGCTTCTCACCTGAAGAGCTCACGGATCTCCCGGCTGTCAGCCTGGAATGGGATGTTACGCACCAGGATCTTGGACGTGGTCTGCTTTCTGGGAACTTGTTTCTTGCGAGCGGATGTCAAGGCTGGCCTGGACGGTCGGGGGAAAGGGTTCGGGTTATTCGGGGTGTAGGATGCCCTCCACAGACTCCCTGCCCTCCCTCTCTGTGCAGGTGAGGGAGTCAAGGAGTCGTTGTGGACAAGGCAGAGATGAAATGGGAGGGAAGTGGTCTCCTGTGGGGGACATGACCATGTTCTCAAAACGGCCGTAGACCAGTCAGGCCACCTACCCACCTCTGGGTCTCTCTTGCACATCATTTGAGAGACCCAAGGGCCAGCAGGGACTGGAGACAGGAACCCTGACGAGGGTGAGGCCCGTTCCACACCATATCCAGTCTCCACTGTCCCTTTCGGGATGCAGCAAGACCCCAAGTGGCCCACAGGGCTTATCTGAGACTTTCCACCGCTCACCCAAGGGGCATCATCCCAAAGCCCTAGAGCAGTTTCTGGCCTGGGACATGGGCTGGGGGTTAGAGAGGAAACTGATCCGGGGGCTCAGGGTCCTCTCCAACGTGTCCCCATCTCACATGCGCTCCTGCATCAAAACGGGGCAGGGCTGTGAGCAAGAAGCTGATAACTGGGCTGTGGAAGCCAAGTCGGACACACAGGATCTGAGTGATCTTGGGCAAGTAACTTGGCCTCTCTGGGCCTCCGTTTCCTCAACTGCACAATGGCCTTAATAAAAGGGCTGGCCTCGTCATACTGTTTGAGGACCCGTTGAACACTCTGCATGGTGCCTACCGTGAGCTAAATGTTCCGTAAATGGCGGCAAGTTGTCATAAAGACGATTGTTACCACTCGCTTCCTTCGGTAAGGATCGCCACGAAAACAGCAACTCACCCCCCCACTCCGGCTCTGTTTTCCTTTCTGGCATTCGCCACCACCTAACCGCATCGTATGTATTTGCTCGTGTTTCCCTTTGCAGTCTGTCCTCTAGGCTGTGCTGTCCAATATTGTGGCCACAAGCCACACATGGCCAGTTAAATCTACGTGAAAACAAAATTCGAAATTCAACCCCTCCATTGTGGGAGAGCCAGCATCCAAGATGGCCCCTGTGAGCCCTGCCTCGCAGTATTCATGCCCCTGAGGAGTCCCCTCCTGGGCTCTGTGTGACCAATGGAAGACAGACACCAACAGTGACTCCTGAGACGAGGTTGGCAAAGAAACTGTTGCCTCCTTCTTGCTGTCCCTTGGATCCCTCAGTCTGTGGGAAAAAGGAACACAGGCTGCGCCAACAGCCATGTGAGGGCGCCATCTTGGAAGGCGATCCTTTAGTCCCAGGGGCCCTTCAGATGAGGCTGCAGCCCTGGCCGACATCCTCACGGTAACCTTGAGAGACCGGGAGACGGAAGTACCCCGCTAAGCTGCTCCCGAGTTCCTGAGCCGCAGAGACCATAGGATAATAAATGTTTGCTGCTTCAAGCTAGGCCTGGGATACCGTTATGCAGCAATAGAAAACACAACCACCCCCCGCCCCTTAAGTGCTCAAATGCCACAAGTAGCAAGCCGTCGCTGTATTGGATGGCACAGAGGCAGAACATCAGAGAGGAATGCCACCACTGTAGAAGGTTCTACCAAATACACGGCCCCAGTACGTGAGCACCGCAAGGAAACTCCATTCCCAGCAACTGGGCAGAGTATCCAGAACACGGCAGGTTCTCTCTGGTGTTTTGCTGAATAGAAAGATGACTCGATCAGCACTGGCTGGGCACTGAAAGCTCGCAAGGTGACTTTAGCTTGACTCCCTGCAGACAGGGTATGGAAAGGAAAGATTGCCACCGCCGGCGGAGTGAGCATGGGCATGGCATGTGCCAGGCGCTTCACACACACCCTCTAGCTGGTGCGTTTTACTTCGCAGGCCAAGTCAGCCACCCAAGGCCACGTGGCTCTGGGACTGGAACCCACAGCTGTGGGGCTGAATGCCTGGAATCCCACTGTTCCCTCACAGCTCAGGAGCCCATCCCGAACCAGGCCTTCTTCTCCCAAAGGGTACTCCCTTGGCACAGACTGGGCTGGGCGAAGGATACCAGAGGTGGCCTGGGGGCTGGGTTCACGAGCAGCTTTGAGAACAGAGAGGGAAGAGAAAGCAGTGGCTCCAGGCCAGCCCCGGGCGGCTCATCGGCTCAACGACCACAACAAACAAACAACCTGCTGAAAACTACCAAAAAACATCTCAAACCGGCCCTAGGACCGTCAGAGGCACTTCAGGGGGATCAGCTCATTTAGACATACGAGTGGGCAGAGGACAGGAACAAAAATAAATTCTTAGGAAAAAACCCCACTACTTCAGGAAACTGGTCACTGGACAGACTGTTCTGTCTCCGTCTCTAACGCCTACCGAATCTCTTTTGAATTAACTAGAGACTGTCTCTGGGCTCTGTTGTCCAGCTCCAGGAGAGAAAGCCCCATAAAGGCGGATGTCTAAGCTTTTCTTGCTTCTCCTGTTCATCCAAAACCCCAGCAACTTGCAACTCATTGGTGGGTTATTTGTATCACCAAGATGAGCAGGACATGGTTATTTTTCCTATTCTTGCTCCTTCGATGACAATACATGTGTGTGAAGCATTGACTCAAAGACGGGTTCATCACAGAAACGGGCCTCGGAGCTGGCAAATGGGACACCAGCTTCATGAAGAAGAGTCCCACACAGTGAGGGGTTCCGGCTGGGGCGGGGGGCGGGGTGGTCATGGCAAGGGTCTGGGGCACCAGAACCAGGCAGAAGGGACTGCCCCGGGTCAAAGCAAAGATGGGGCATTGAAGACTCACTTGGTGGCTCGTTCCGAGATCCTCACTTCCAGCTTGTGGCCATCCACGACGTGACCCTAAGAGATAAGACAACACAGCCTGTCACTCTGTCCTCCCAGAAATATTCACCCGTATCCCCTGTCCTTCACCAGAGCGGGCTTCTGCGGAGGGGAAGGGAAATCTCAGAAGGAAGATGTTCCCAGGCAGAGGGGCCAGCTGGAATCAAGGACAGAGAACAGCTTCTCCTGGAAATGGCTCACGCCGAGCCCAGGCAGCTGCTGGTCACGGAGACCCAGCCTTCCGATGTCCTCTCGAGCCACGCGTGGGCCTTGACCTTTATGCCACTGGAGGGACACAGAATTTTCCATCGTGTGTAAGCGTCTGCAGGCAAAGGAAGCCCCTTCGGTCTGGCTTGCAGAGTGAGAGTTCAGGTTAGATTGGATGCTTAAGAAAAAAAAAAAATCTAACCCACAGAGAGGTTGCAAGGAAAGCTAGGCTCTCACGTGGGTCCCTTAAGGCAAAAACTGGCGAATTAACAAAATCACCCTCGAAAATCGCTTAAATCTCCCGTAAAATACACCATGCATAGTTCCATGTAAACAATTCTTGGAGGCAACGTGCGTGTATGTGTGCACACAGGGAGGTACAGAACGTAACGCGGGAGGCGTGGGGGGTGGCGTTTTACAGAAGCCTGCAGCACGTGGCCCGTGGTAACGAGGCTGGACTTCCAGGGACTCTTCAAAAACAGTAAGAAATCACACTCCAGAGATCTGGTAATGCTTGCCTCCCCACGAGGCAGCAACTGGGCCGAAGCCAAGAAGTGGGTGCCCCTTCGGGCAGGCCCCACGTGCGGGGGTTCTGTTCTGGGTGATGCCTGCCTCTTTGTCCCTTATGCTCCCCACCCCCACCCCCTGCCCCGCCATCACCGAGGACATGTGAGTCTGAGCCCCGGTGGAGGCCAGAGAGCCTCTCAAAGACAGCAGAGGCCCCAGGGGGCTCCCTTCCCCATCGTCCTACCCCAAACCAACTCAGCCCTTTGTGAAGTGGCTTTGAGCCAAGGTCATCAAAATTCTACAAAAACAATCATATCAGCCAAGTGCCCGGCTACATTTCCGATAGCCCCGAGGCCCTTCCCCTGCAGGGGAAGCTCTGCTGGGACAGAGAGGGGTCCCTGAATGGGCGTCCTTTCCACACTGAGAATAGCCCAGCCGGGCCCAGCCCAGGTACATTCGCACAGGGAGAAGGAGAGCTGGGGAATGGTGTGCTGCCGGCTGTGCCCTGCCTTGTACACTGGGCTCTATTTTACCTTCCCACTGCTGGGCCTCATGCCGGGCAGGCCATGTCCTCCCTTTTTCTTGGGCCACAGTTTTCTCCTCCGTAAAGAACTGGACATGTAACATCCTGAATACGGCTTAAAAGGGTCCCTGAGCCTCTGGACGCCCTTCCATGGACTTGGGTCTAGAAGCCTGATCTAGAGGAACGATCATGAGTGCTCTGGCTGCAGGAGGGAAAGGCAGGTGGCAGCGGGGAGCACGTAGGTCTACGGAAAGAAAGAGGTACGTGGAGGGGGGGCACTCCTCCTTATCCCCTCTGCCGAAGGCCCTGGGGATGGGGGGCAGCGGGGAAGAGCGTTGAGGACACTGTCCCAAGCAGAGGCCTGGCTCACTGTAGGGCACAAATCCCAGGCTGTCCCACTCCCTGTGGCCCCAGTTCAGCTCCTTTCCCACTCCCGCTCCTGAGGGCCCTGCAAGAAAGCACTGTTCTTTTCTCTGAAAAGGATGCGGAGTCTCTCTGTCCAAACAGCTTGGAGTTGAGATCCCTTGTCCCCACTGCCTCCACCCCGGCCCAGGCCAAAAGTCTTTCCTGCCTGAATGACTCAGTGATCCACTCTCTGCACAGCAGCTCGAGTGACTGACTGGAAGCATAAACCAGTCCCCTCCCCCGTGTGCTCCAAGCCCTCTGATGGAATCTCACTGCCTTACACTGGATTCCATGGTCCTTAAAATGCCTACAAGATCCAGATCTAGGTACCACCCACCCCACACTTCCTCCTGCCACACTGGCCTCTTTCTGCCTCTCAAACAGACTCAGTGCACTCCTATCTTAGAGTCCCTGCCTCATGCCCTTTGCACATGCCGCCCCCGCCAGACTGCTTCCCCCAGATCTTTATGTAGCAGACTCCTTCTTGTCAATTAGGTATTAGCTCAACTGTCACCTCCTGAGAGTGGCCTCCCCTGACCACACAGTGTAAAGTAGTCCTCCCAGCCCATCCAAGTGCCTGCTTCATTTCCATCCAAGCACTTCTCATGACCTGGTCCAGTGTATTTACTCAGAGGTCTGCTCTGCCAGGCTTCCCCACACCAGGCACAGAGCTGTGGCTTAATGAACACACGGCAGTGATGACATGAGGAGGGTTCTTAATTTTTCTTGGGCCACAGTTCTCTCCTCCCTAGAGAACTGGAGGAAGTGAGGGGCCCAGGAAAATGTGCACTTCTTTGCACTCTCACTCAATTTCGGGAGCACTGACAGGTGGGGACCCCCCCCACCCCGCCTCCACTACCTGCCAAGTGCCTCTGGGAACCTCGGCTGAAATCCCCACCTTACCTGGAGCTGCCTGAGAGCCTTCTGGGCCTGCTCTGGCTTCCTGTATTCCACAAATCCAAATCCCATGGAGAGCAGCACTCCTGAAGGAGAAAGGCAGAAATCACTGGGGTGAGGTGGGGCGGGGAGGGCAAGAAGGCGAAGAAAGCACAAGCCCAAGTGCAAGGGTTCCAGCAGGCCCCTGGGCGTCCACTCTTTTCTCTCTTCCTCATACCCCTCCTTCATTTCCAAAAAGACTTCCGCTCCTGGCTCGCCATGGATTACCAGTCATCTTGAAGAACCAGTCGATGAAGTTATAGAGCCGTCACCTGAGGCCCAGTTGACCGTTAATTAACAGATGACTGACATGATAATTAACTTTGTAATAGAATTCCGCCTTTGGGAGGGAGAAGGAATGAACACGGATGACTATCGCTATGACAAGTGGCGCAGCGTCTGCCTAGGCCGTCCGCCGCTTCCACACATGAGGCAGAAGATGAATATGTGTGTGAAAGCCAAAGGCACCAGAGACTTCCCCTTTGCAGGTCTTTCCGACCATCCGATTACGGCTGCTCCTGGGTTTCAGATGCCAAGGTCAGATGGGGAAGGCGGCTGCATTGTACAGACCTCTCTGGTCCCCTCCTTCTAAGGCCGTGAGGAGCAAGGGAGAGCTCAGAAGTTTATTGGACACACTTGCTTCCGACTTGAGGTCTGTGCGTGTTCTGTATGTATGTAGAATTGGGGGGGCAGCTTGTATTTTATGGGGTATTTGTCTGGTTACACTTTGCCCTACAGCCAGAATGTGACATGTGCCTACTTCCCCCCAACCCAAAGTTATACAGATGTGTTCATTTCATTCTTCCATTTTGTCACAGTTGAACTCAGAGGGCTGGCTCAAGTCTGATGGGTCCAAATGAGGACTGAGATATACACCTTCAAGTCGCTCGCCGGTCCCATCTTTGCCTCTACTGTACTGTTTTAAGACCTGAGCCTCGACCGCGTGGACCGCTGGCTTGCATTTCCATTCACAACCCCATGCTTTAGAATGAGGTGCCATGAGAAAGTCCACGGAATTGTCCACATGTGGCTCTGTGGGCCACAGATGAGAACCTCGGACAGACCTGTTGGCTGCCAGGCAGTGCTACCCTGTGACAACCATGAACGCTGGTTTCTTCAGTGGATACTGGAAAGCACTGGAAGATCAGGTAACTCTTGCTAAAGTAGGCTGAGGGGCGTTCCTGAGGGCTGAAAGGTTGGCTCCACAGCGTCTGATGCCTGAGAGTGGGGCAGTGACCCTACAACCCACAGAGGCAGCCCCAGGCAGAGCTGGGGGCCCCTCTACCAGCCCGACTCACCACCTGGATGTCAGGGGTCACCTCCCTTCCCGAAGCCCCTGCAAGTGAGCCTTCACGTCGCTCACTTGGTACTTAGCTGCCTTTCTTATGTCCCAAACTAGCTCTGCAGCTCCTGGAGAACAGGCTCGGTAGAATGTTCCAGAGGTTCTACATCTGGGTTACCCTCGCCCCCTACCCAAAGCCACAGGTCTTTTTGCAATCATCCTTTCTGACTGGTTTCGTAAGAAATACCTGCTTTGTTCTTCTTCTTGGAAACAGAACAGCTTTTCACCGTCCCTGCTTTGGAAAACACCTGGAAAGGAACGTTAACGTGTGTCAGGAGTATTTCAGGCTAACTCTGCAACTGGTGCAGGCGCATCCTGAAAGACAGAGGCTACGGATGGGGCCAGGGCCCCAAGAGGCCAGGACTAACAGCAGAGCTAACACCCAGATCACGCCTGAGGTGCAGACACTTATGGACTCTCTTAATCCTAAGTGTCAGACCCTTGGATTATCTCATTCATCCTAATCAGATCTTTAAAACCACTCTACCAGGGGTGCCTGGGTGGCTCAGTCAGTCAAGCATCTGCCTTCGGCTCAGGTCGTGATCCCGGGGTCCTGGGATTGAGCCCCATGTCGGGGTCCCTGCTCAGCAGGGAGCCTGCTTCTCCCTCTCACTTTGCCCCTCTCTCTGCTCCTCTCTCTCTTCCATGCTCTCTCTCTCTCAAATAAGTAAGTAAATAAATAAATAAAATCTTAAACCAAAAAACCACTCCATGGGAAGATTCACCTAACAACCCCATTTTATAGATGGGGAAACCAAGACACAGAGAGGCTAAAGGACTCACCCAGGATTGCACTGTTAGCCAAGAGTGAGGCCGGGGGGCGCCTGGGTGGCTCAGTGGGTTAAAGTGGGACCTCTGCCTTCGGCTCAGGTCATGATCTCAGGGTCCTGGGATTGAGTTCCGCAATGGACTCTGGGCTCACTGGGGAGCCTGCCTCTTCCTCTCTCTCTCTCTGCCTGCCTCTCTGCCTACTTGTGATCTCTGTCTGTCAAATAAATAAATAAAATCTTTAAAAAAAAAAAAAAAAAAGTGAGGCCAGGATCCACATCCAGGCAAGTCTGACCCCAAACCTGGGGCAACACGAGGGGAACCCTGTGGGCTGGGTGCTGCTCCCCGTGGTGCCTCCGATGGGCTCATGGCCCTGGGACAGTGACTTGACCTCCTGAAGCTCAGGCCTCACACGACACATGCGGAACCTACACGTCACCCTAGCAGTGACTCCCAGCTCCTGAGTCGGAAGCTCGGGTGCGTCTTCTAGGAAACAATTCCTGATGACGTTCCCGTACTGGACCCAGGAGAGCCGCACAGCGGAAATGAACACCAATGACATGCTGTTTTCACCTCTTCCGAGCAATCCGGCATCACCGGGACCTGCCTCTTTACAAAAGCAAACCCAGCCCGGACCAAAACGGATTCCGGAAACAGCCAACGAGAAGTCCCAGGGTGCGTTTCCGGTTGCTCCACACAGTGAATCTTTGCCCCAAAGGTGCTGCTGCTTTGGCCACCATGTCCCTCTGCCATGGCCGCTCTCTCAGTCAGCAAGAGGACAGTCACAGCACAGAGACTTGGCCAGATGGCCTCAGCGGAGGCTCTGTCCTCTTTTGCCTCCCCAAAAAGGAGACACCAAAATCTCTCCCTCCAGATGCAGGCTTGCTCCCCCCACCCACCCCGCACAGCACTGTTCCTCTGGAACTCAGTGGACCTCGTTCCCCCATCTTGAGTCCATCTGTGGGATTTGGGAACTCAGGAGAATTTTTAGAAGTCCGTGAGTTCAATCCTTACGGCCATCTTGTTTTTTCCAGAACCAGTCCATGGCGGTCAGCCTGCTAATAATCATTGGCATTGAAAAAAAAAAAAAAAAGTGCCAAACCTAGTTCACAGAAATCTCCCCACGTTTCTCAGCCCAGCGGGGACCTCGCAGACCCTAATCCTTTGGAATCGGAGGCCCCATTTCCCTATCTCTGGCCAATTCCTTCTCAAGGGCCCCCGACCCCACTCAGGGTAGGACCCATCTGATATTTCCCAGACAACTACTTGGAGATGCCCATCTTTGTACCCTCTGCCCCACCCCGTAAGAATGCACAAACCCCCTTCCCATCCATGGATTTCAGGCAGGGCTGCCCTACACTCATTCCCGCGTCTCCTGCCTGCTCCCATCAGGCCAGGAGGTTGTGCTAATATTTGCTTTTGGGTGGTTAACGCCACAGAAACAGCTGACGGGGCGTTGGGGGGTGGGGTGGGGGATGGCTTTGTTTTCTGAATGTGCAATGCTAACACGCACAGACGACAGCTTTCACACTGCACACGCCTCCCCAGCCGCCCTGACACGTCCCCTTCCATGTCTGTGGGTGCCCCTCCCAGCCCCCAGGCTGGTCTGCCCACGGCTCAGGTCCCTGGGGGAGATGCCGACGGGACAGCCCAGCAGGGATGGAGGGGCTGGTTGCTGGCTGTGCAGCCCCATATCAGCGTGAACCAGATTTAGCAGCCTAATAAACCAACCAGAATGTTAGCAGACGGGCTTCCCCGCCCCACAATCTCCTTCCCCGTTCTCAGCCATCACTCACTTCCTTCAGGGTCTCCTCCGTCGTGTTGAAGTTGAGATTTTTAATAAACAGAGTACACCCAGGGAGGCTCTCCTCCTCCTCCTCCTCTTCCTCTTCCTCCTCTTCCTCCGCCTTCGCTGGACTGTCTGCAGCTCCTCCCTCTGCTGGCTTTTCATCTTCTGGGGTCTTGTCTGGCACTGGGTCCCCCCAAGACAGAATACCATTAGATGTCAAACCCATCAAAGGTCTAAGTCCCGGGCCTAAAGCACAGAACCTGCTAGACCAGAGGGGTTCTGACTGTGCAGGAGGCACTGGGAAGGGGCATGGATTCCCAGCGACCGCAGGGTTCTAGCTGCTCTTTGGGGGAAGCTATGGGGAGACCGGGGTGGGGGGTGAGGCTGTCCTGCCTCCAGCCACTCTTTTAAACAGAAAGGAATATGAAACACAGACCAGAAGTCTGAGCCACAGACCAAGCCCCACTAATGTGAGCCTCAAAATAAATCACTGTGTGAACTGTTCTACTGAACCCAAAACCGAAGTAACGTGTTACTTTTCCGCAAAAGCGACACGGAGCGAACTTTCAAATTAAAACGGGCCTCAAAACTTACAAAAAATGACAGGGCGGCAGCAAAATGTGAACATTGTAAAACCCCCACGAACCTGAGGAATGTTACGTTCAATTAGGATCCCTAACGTACATAACTTCGGGGAGGCACACACGTAAGAGTGTGCCTTATCTATATTCGACAACATAAATTCAGAGTTGCGCATGATAGCCAAATACTGAAACAAAACAAAACAAAACAAAACAAAACAAACCCCCACCACCACTCAATACTCATAAATAGGACACTAGGACAGTTACAGCGCCACCAAAGGGTGGGACGATATGCGTTCATTAAAAATGATGTTTCTGTCCATGATGATGATCTGAAGTTATCCCTGTCTGAAGGCAAAGAAAGGCCTTTCTGTGGAATATGGGAAAAAAAAAAAAAAAGAAAAGAAAAAAAATGATGTTTCTAAGGAATGTGTGAGGACAAACAAGGACACTTAGGATGTAAAAAATTATGAGAAAAATTAAGATCTGAACTAATAAAGAGCATAAACCCAATCACGTTCCGAACACACAGCTCCTGAGAGACACACGGGGGAGCGAAAGCTGGAAGGGAAGGCAGAACGTGTCCTGGGTGTTTCTGGAGAACGGGATTACAGAGCGCTGTTGTTTCCAGGCCCCCAGCCCTCCTGTCACTCGGAAGGAACAGCATTTCAGGAAGGGGAAGGGCAAACAGGAGGCTGTGTATCAGCAGGTGGGTGGGTGGCTGCAGCACAGGGCCAGCCGTGGTGATGTGCGGGGACGTCACCTGGGGGGTGACAGAAGGCTCAGAAGACTGAGATCAGCACCATGACCTCTAAGAAGTCCTGTTGTGATGAAATGCTTGCAGTTCAATGTCCTCAATGTCCCCAAGTCCCATGATCAGGGTCCGGGGTCACATCCCACCTCTGCACACAAGCTTCTGAGGCTCCGCCCACTCTGCGGAAATCGGGGTCCATCTCAGAGGTTCTTCAAAGTAGTCATGAGACAGCACCCTCACACCCGTGTGGTTCTGAGCAGGGGGCCCGTCCCTCCATACGGATCCAAACCTGGCCCGTCCTGCCCAGCCCAGGCCCCAGGGAGGCAGCTCTGTGCACCGGCTTCCGGCTGACAGACACAGCCCTGTCCTCCCGCACACCTGCACTCAAACACTTCAAGCTTCTTGGGGTTCGAATCCTCCCTGCCCACTCTCACACTGAGTACCGCCGCCGCCTCACGTCCGCCTCCCCTGCCCCTTGTGAGGCAAGCAGAATGCTTGCGAGGCCTAATTAAGCTTCAACCGATTTGTCATGAAACAACACTTTCAAGCCCCGATGGCAACGGGTGGCCGTGATGATGTCGTCTGTCTCACATGAGCTGAACAGACAGCCTTTGCCCCTCCTGCTCCCCTGGAGGTGAACCCAGAACCCAGACCCTCACTCCAGGACAAAAAAGAAGAAATCAACACAAAGGCTCCTCCCCCAGCCAAGACACTAACACAATTTACCCAACAAGGGACTCCATGGTGTGGCTGTTTGTAGTCCACATTCAAAGCAAAGCAGGGTGGACTTAGCATTGCTAATGACAAGGAGGCGAAGCTATGCAAAGTAGCTAAGACTTGGGGTCTGAATGAGAGCTTCAGTGGAGCTGAAAACCACAACCTTCAGCTGGGAATGACATTTCCACCCCACTGGCTCTCCTTGCATTTGCCATCTCGGAGATGAAAGCCGGGGGTGGGGGGTGGGGAAGGACAGCTGAGTAGACCCCTCTCCCCATCCTCCCACCCCTGCCCCACACACCAGGCACTGGGCTTGATGCCCCAGGTGCACGGTCTCATTAGTGACTATGGGAGCCACGTCACAAAAAGTGGGTGGCCTGTGACCAACGTTGGAGGCTACTGCCTCTGAGCCCTAAATCCGAGGGATCTTCAGGTTGGGAGAGAGGTTCATGGAAGACCCAAGAGATTCTTTTTAAAGAGAAGACAGAGGTGGTGATGATGGTGACCAAGAAGGTTCGTGGTGAGCTTAAAGGGGCAGCCCCTGCTTGGTACCAGCCAACTGCTGCTGTCAGAGGACAGCTCAGGGTGGTCCCACGTGCAGGTCTTCCAAGAGAAGCTGAAAATCCACCTTTCGACAGAAAAGCCCGTGGTTCTTTAATCTCGGTAACTAACTCAATGGCCTGTGGCTTCTGTACCAGGCAGTGGTCAACCAATAAACCAAGCAGCTCATCGGGCCTTGGTGCAGTGCTCCCCACACCCAGCCCGTGCACAGTCCGCCAGCAGAGACCGACGGCCCTCCCAAGGGCCCAGAATCCAGCCAGTTCCCGGTGTCCCGGGGGCTCAAAGGCTCCCCAGGACAGCAGCTCAGGGGAGCCCAGCCCCATCCCGCCTCCCTGCCCCGTTTCTAAGAGCTGTGTAAAGGGTCGGAGGCACCTGCCCTAGAGATGGGATATTTGGGTTTAGTGAAAGCTGAATGGAGCTTATGGTCAGGTTGGATCGTGTCCATGGCAAGTGAGCTGCCCTTGACCCTGCCCAGAAAGAACAAGGGGACGGTGAAGGCGGCCAGGACCTATGTCCACCCCAGGTGTGTGGCTGGTCTGGCTCACCGGCTAATCGGTCGACCAGTAGCCCTGACCCCCAACATCAGGGACGAGCAGCCAGCTTGAAATAAAAGACATGATTAAATTGGCCTGGCCATCCTCCAACAGCACAGAGGTGTCTGTGGCTTCTCTAAACCTCGGTGTCTCTAAACCTGCACCCGTAACTGCCCCTGGGATGCTGGGAGAAGGGACAAGACAAGGGGGCTGGTTTTGAGATCTGCTGAAAAGGAGGGGCCTGGAAAAATCAAGAGGCCCACAGACTAGCACAGAGCGGTGAAAAGCACATAGGCCTGAGGAAGGAGTGACCCGGGTCAGACAGAGTCCTGGTGATGTCACTCAGTAGCGGTGTGGGCCACACCTCAGAGTCTGGGGGACCGGGTCCCTGTTGGCCACATCCCTGGGGAGGCCTTCTGCTCTCCAAGTGGCCAGGCCAGGCCAGGCCCGGCTGGGGTCCACACCCGCGTCCCTGTCCAGAGAGATGTGTCGTGGAGGCCCAGTGCCACGGCTGCAAAGCCCAAGGTCATTTTTTAAAGCACTTCTGCTCCTGGTCCGAGTGGGGAGACAGAGAAGAGAACCAAAAACGAGATGCTGTGAAACCCAAACAGATGTTTGCCAACAAAATCACCAGAAACCAGAGAAAGCGGGAAGTAAGGAAGGGAAGCGGGGCAGGGCCAGAGGGTGGGGTGCAGCTCAGGTGGGGGGAGGATTTCAAAGCAAGGTGGGCTGGAGGGGGCTGGGGCAGGCCGGGAGGATGTGCTTCCATCTGTAGTTAGCACAATAAAACCCAGTCACGCATCGCCACATGGGGCTTTATTATAATCAGGCCGCAGAATTTACTGTGGCCCCCCCCCTTCCCAGCTCTGGGCGCTGAAGGCTGACAGCAGAGACTGTTATCAGTTGCAAGCAGCTTTCCAGGACCTCCCCCGACTCTGAGCCCTTTATCTGGAGGTGAGGGTCTTGCTTGTGGGGAGATAAAACACACTGTCCCCCTCCCTTGAGACTGGTACAGAGAACAGGGAGCTTTCCAGAAAGGAAGGAGGCGGTGGGGAAAAGAAAAGCTCCATCCATTCCCCTCCCCGCTCCCTTCCTTCGGGGCCTGAGGAAGTCTAGGGCTTGGAGGCTGGCTGAGCCCCCGCGTGATGGGGCTTGGGGAAGCTTCTGGAACGAGGTGGAGGCCCAGGCAAGGGGGAGGAGCAGGTGAAAAGCGACAGCACAGGAGGCTGGGGAGGGGGCTCTGTATGCGATTCATGTCAGAAAAGGAACAGAAAGGACAAAAAGAGGCCCAGGAGGTGAACTCCGTGGGAATTCACCTGGTGACATGGGCCTCAGCAAGGCCTGAAATCAGTCCAGACACGCACGGCGCCCTGTGTGAAATCAGGGCCGCACCCCGGCCCCTCTGCCAGGCTCCACGGGCTCCTTTGTGTGAGTCTCGTCAGCCCCAAGAGGCAGGGCCTGTCAGGGGGAGTCTGTTTTGGAGGCTCTCGACACAGCAGCACAGGCCCCGGGAAGCAGGGCACAGTGGGGCAGGCCGGACTTGGGTACACGGTCTCCACAAAGCCTCTTCTCTGTGAGCTCTAGACATGTCCGTCCACACGACCCACTCCTGCTCCCACTGCAACATCTCAGCCACCACCAACGGCCCCCGTCTGTCCCCCCACCAGGCCTCGACTGGGGAAGAGGGTCTGCGTGGCACCCACTGGGGTCACCCTGGCTCAGCAGAAGCTGGTGCTCACGGCTGACGATGGGCCACCCACCCTGGCTTCTGCTGCCAAAGCCACCAGAGACGCAGAGTTTATCGGTGCCTTCCCTGCGGGTCTCACCATACTCTCAACAGTGCCCTGAGAAGTCGGCATGGTCATCACGCCCATTTTACAGACGCAGAAACCAAGCCTCTGAGAAGGACGGCAGCTCGCCCTGCTGTGGGGCTGCGAGAGGACAAGAGAGATGGTAACCTCCCCAGGAGCTCTGAGCTGCACCCTGAGGAACCCGAAGTGCTCGGGGCAGGGCCTGGCACAGTGTGAGCACCCTTGGGTTCACTCAGCACCCTGCACTGCTCTCCTTCCGGACGCTGAGTTCCAGTGGTGAGCCAGCAGAAAGGTACCGCCCTGTGGGATGGACTTTCTAACAGCGAAATCAGGAAGACAGACACCAAGGAAATGAGCCTGTATATGGTTCTAGGAAGTGGGAGAGGGCTAAAACAAAGCAAAGGGTAGCTTGTGGGGTGGGCGTCAATCAGTACCCCCAGAGGGAGCCAGGACTGTCCCTGTAATTGGTGCTGGCACCATCTCACGCCACTCCGACCGCTGGGAAGGCGAACGACCACTGGAGGATGACCCCTCCAACACCACACTCCTACTGTGTGCCCGAGGCTTGGGACACAAAGGCCAGGATAACCCTCCCCCTACCTTTCCAGGCAGAGAGAGGCAGAAACCCTTCTTCCTGCATCCATTCACTCTGCCCACACATGTTCATGGAGCCAGACTATGTCTGGGGCCTCATGGGGGGCAAGGCACCCAGCAGTGAGCAAGGCAAGGGGCCACACCAGGACACGTGCAAACGAGTGGGGCCACTTTGTACCAGGCTCAGTGGTCCTGCCAAAGAGGTGGGAAATGGGCCCTCGTTCCCGGGAAGTCTGTGTGCCCGAAACAAGGGCCTGCTTTGGCCAAAAATTATTCAGGTTCAGGATGAGCAAGTGAAGTGAACGGTGAGGTGGCTGAAGTTTTTGGGGTGATGGCTGGTTAAGAAAATCACAGGACTGTGTCAAGAGAAGTTTTCCTGATGGCCGCAAGCGGGTTTTGAAGGGAACCTTAATCCCATCTGAGGACAGAACTAGGTTGGTATCAGGGCTACCGAAGGCTCAGATGGTAATTAGTAAGCCTGAGGACCGGGGGGCCTTCTGGAGCCTCGAGATGCAGAGACCAAAGAACTCCCCTTCCTGATTGGAACAAAGATACCAGACTAGGGGTTCCCAAGTGCCCCGGACCGACAGGGCTGGTCCTGAAGGGTTCACAGACTCACGACAACAGACAAGTGCAGACAGCCCCAGGAGGTTTATGGACAGTGAGGGCTATTCAATGAAAGGCCTGCTCTTTAATCTGAGAATTCTGCTCGCCCCGTTTTTGCTCTGAGATACCCTTTCTGGGAACGACGATGGTAGATGGGAGCCTTATTTTCTCAATTCTTATTTCAATACATGGCTAACTCTATGGGGGGCTGGGTAGGAAAGTGGGGGACACTGCTGATGAGCGCTCCTAACATGTGGGGAACAGGACCGCCAGTCCTTTTCAAAATTTTTCAGAAGGTCTTCCGCCCCCTAGGGGACATCTGGGAAACACCGAGGGGGCAAGGGCAGTGAGCTTCGGGGGGTCAGGAGCACTGAGCACTCCCGACTATGCAGTGGGCAGAGGCTGGGCGTGTGAAAACCCTTGCTATTTGCACAGCCATCCTATCAGGAGGGGCTGGTGCTGCCTCGGTGCCAATGGCGTCCCCTCCGCCCCCAAGTGTGAAGCATCAGCTGGGAGGTGGGCCACCCCCGTCCTTGCCTCAGCGTCTCTTCCCTGCCCTCCTCTTACGGTCATGGGTGGCTAAGGGACCCTGTGCCACTCCAAGGACCCGGGGAAAAGTCTCTCCTCCGCCAGCCGCCCTCACTGGCCAGGCATTGGGGCGGGTGCATTAAATAAGAAGGTGCCCACAGGCTCTGCTCTAAATCCCTACGGGTAGATTCTAGAGGTCTTTTTCAACCTTTAACTGGCAAATTATAAAGCTGGGTACTTTATGCCGCGCCTGTAATTTCTACGCTCTGATCTTAAGAACATCTTACATGCCTATAAAACCCGAGAGTCTGAAATATGCTGGTCTCTGGAACAAATAAAGAACTTTAAACCCAGTATCTGACAGACCACCACATGGCGCCCAGCCCTGCCACCCTCCTTTCTCCACTTGCCCACTTCCACGGGACACCCTGATCGCAGCTCTTACGGGTTTCTGGCTCTGCCCTGTCCTCTTCTGCAGGTCCTGCTGGTGGATCTTGGGGTTCCTTCGTCTGCGGGGCTGAGCCGGAGAAGACACCCACTGGAGCCCACTCCAGGTACAAGGGGGCGTGATGAAACTGCAGAGATGGGGTGGGGGAGGGGCTCAGTTCCTCCTGCAGATGGAGAGCCTGAGGCTCACAGAGTATGGGCAACTCACCCCCGGGAACGGAGCCAAGACGAATGGCACAGTCTAGAACCTTCTGTGCTGCCTGACCCATGAGAACACACACTCCCCCCACCCTTGCTGCAGCTTGGGGCTCAGGGGACAGGCCCAAGCATCTGTTGTCATTGGACACGCTGGGGTCTCTGTGGGTCTTCTGTGATCAGGAGTGAAGAAGGCGAGTGGGATGGGGAAGCAGGATCACTTATGAACTGCGGCTCCCCAGGAGGAAGCGTGGAAGGGCTGTCAGGAACACACCTTCTCTCCCTCCCCTGCCCATAGACCACAGGCAGTGCATGTGCGCACGTGTGCAGGCACATTCTTTCCTTTTACAAAAGGGACAAACCAGACACTGATAAGCAGTCTGTGGATGGCTAAAGTGCCTGATAAGGAGAAGCTACTCACCACGGATGAATGGTGCCCCCCCATAAAGTTATGTCCATATCCTCAAATCCTAAAACCTGTGGATTTGGGATTTTATTTGGAAAAAAAAGATCTTTGCAAATATCATTAAGTGAAGGATCTTGAGATGAGAGTGTCTGAGTTATCTGGGTGAGCCGTAAATCCGAGGACAAGGGTCCACACAAGACAAAGGCAGAGTTAGACCTGGGACTGGGGAAGAAGACCACGTGAAGACAGAGGCAGAGACCAGACAGACACAGCCACAAGTCAAGGGACACGTGGGGCCACCAGAAGCTGGTAGAGGCAGGGAAGGGTCTCACAGAGTCTTCCAAGCGGGCAGGGCCTTGGGACAGCTGGATTTCTGACTTTGGGTCTCCAGAGCTGGGAGACAGTACTCCAGCTCTGCTGTCTCAAGCCCCTGCTTTGTGGTCATTTGTAAAAGAAACCACGAGAAGGTAACATACTACTATAAATGTGCACATACACAGGACTTCTTTCTCTTTTTACAGAGAAACAGGAGACTGCCCTCTTACAGAAGTGACTTTCAACTTATTGGAAATGCAACACACCAGAGGCTCCAGGAAGAACGGCTCTAATTCGCACAGGAGTGGAGAGCCAAGGAGAGCCAGAGTGAAGCAAGGAGCCACGGGGTGCTCTCTGGGGGATGTCTAGAGGGGCCTTCTCGCATGCTCCTGGCACGAGAAGGCAGGGTCATAGACCACGTCGGAGAAGGCTGGTTTGCGACCAGCACCGCACCCGCCAGGTCTGCAGTGAGGCTACTGGCTGGTTCAGCCCCCCAGCGCTCTCCCCAGCAGGCCCCGGAAGCCCTACCTTGGAGTAGGCCAGATGTCTGAAGGCCTTGCGGGCCTCCAGGGGCTCCACAAACTCCACAATGGCGGTGACGCCGCCCTCGGGCAGCAGCACGCGGCCCAGGCTGCCGAAGCGGCCGAAGGTCTCCTGCAGCTCGGCCGCCAGGGTGCCCGCCGGGAGGTTCTTGACCAGGATCACGGTTTTGCTTCGCTCGGCCGCCGCCTGCAGGCAGGGGATCAAGACACGTGGGGACAACAGAAGGGAGGATCCCCGAGGTGACCCCAGCACCTATCTGTGGCTCTCTGCACCAGGCACCCCTTTGGGACCTCAAGTGCCAGGTGCTTGGGGAGCGGGCCCCCGAGAGCCCACTCCCTCAGGCACGGTGCTCCAGGGAGAGAGGTGGCTCCTCGGGGTGAGGAGGGGCGAGGGCTCCAGGTCTACAGCCCAGGTCACACGTCAGCCCCTCCACTTCTGAGCCACGGCAGATTCTGCCAGTGCCCGCCCAGAGCCCTCGTTGGATCTTGTAGAGCGTCCCCGCCTAGACTGCCAATGGCCAGGATGTGCACCTCGGTGCCAGAGGCCTTGTCCCAGACCCACAGGGCACCTGCTGCCACACATGGGGCAGGTAGGAAGGGCTGGCAAGTTACCACTGTGGGAGCAGCCTGTGACACTCAGAGCTTCGTGCATCCCGTCCTCGTGGTAGGGTGGGGACACAAGTGTGCAGTGTGAGTTCTGCAGTGATCCCCCAGGCAAACATTAGCCCCCTGCTATAGCAGCTCTTACTGTGATAAGCACAGTTGGTCTCCTTCCCCTTGATCCTTCTCACCCATTCTCACTGGCCAGTGAGAACCAACCTTGAATCTCTTCAATCTGCCTTTGGGAGAAGCCCAACGAGACACTAGATACGTGGCCCTGGGAGATGTATTAAGTTGGCCTCAGCCCCTCCCCTAAAGCCAGGACATGGCGCCCACTTCACAGGAGCCTCGCAGGGAGGGATTTAATTACGTGCACTAACATGAGCCAAGCACACATCGTATGTGCCACTCTGTAAATGTCAGCGGTCAGTTTACTGAAAAACCATGTAGCAGGGGCACCAAAAAAGCAAGATATCATGGCGAAACTCCTGGCATATGGGGTATCTTAGCACGAGTCTCAGCTTAGCTATGAATCTAACCCGAAACCGTGGGTCAGTTGCTTTCCCTCTGGCCTCAGTTTTCTCATCTGCAAAATGGGCAGGAACACCCATCCTGTAGGCCTCACTGTTGCTGTGAGGACTGAGTCAGGTGGAAGCCATCTGCAGGTGGGAAGGTCTGGGCCGCAGTGGGCTTCAGGTACAACTCAGGCCACAGAGGACAATGGTTAGGGGCGCAAGCTCTGGGGCTGCATTCTGATCAACACCTAGCTGTGGGACCCGGAGCACGTGACTCAGCCTCTATAGACCATGATGGGAACACGGCAGGGCTCCTTTCCTGGGTTGTCACGTGAGGGAAAGGAATAATAAAACACAGATTTGGGGGAACTGTGGGGAGTCCCAGTAAGTGTTAGCCTTCAGCATCTGTACTTCACACATGGAGGTTGGCCTGGACAGCTGAAAGGGCTACTTGGGGGCCAGAAGTCGAGATTTAGTCTGGGCTCCTGCCACAGGCTCAGTATTTGACCTCTAAGCCACCACCCCCACCACCTCTCTGGGCCTCAGTTTCCTAGCCTGTGAGAGGGAGGGGAGGATGTGAGCGGGTCTCAGCAGGCTCGTTGGACTTGGTTAACCATCTGTCATCTAAACTCCTACCTGGTGGAGAAGGAGCATGTAGGGGTCCAGACTGCTCTCCTACCTGGTCCAAGGAAGGTCTTAACTTGCAGACTATAGGGGCTCCTAGTAAGCTACTGGGTGGGGACCCTGCACACAGCCCCCAAGAGACACCATGTGAGTCAGACGGGTTCCTTGTCTGAGCCCATGGGATATTTTCTTCTTTAGAGACAATTTAGGGATTAATAATCATCATCATCCTTGAAAGACCTGATCTTGAGGTGCCTGGATGGCTCAATGGTTTAAGCCTCTGCCTTTGGCTCAGGTCATAATCTCAGGATCCTGGGATTAAGCCCTGCATCAGGCTCTCTGCTCAGCAGGGAGCCTGTTACCCCCCACCCACCTACCTGCTTTTCTGCCTACTTGAGATCTCTCTGTCAAATAAATAAATAAATAAAATCTTAAAAAAAGAAAGAAAAAAAGAAAGCTCTGGTCTTCAAACCCACCCGAATCTGAAACCCCATCCCTGGGCCTCTAGCCACCGGTGGCTTGCTGACCTGGCACCCACCTGGCTGAAGGAGTCCAGGCTGACCCCGTTGTCCAGAAGGAAGCGTCGTACTTCTTGGACGAGCTGGGTCTCCCCCAGGGCCACACGCACGGCCACGCTGCCCTTGGTCTCCTATGGGAGGGGAGGGGGAAGAGGCCCTGTTAGCTGGCGGGCTAGTGACAGGTCAGCTGTTCCATCTCCCAACAGCCTGAGGAGATGGCTGGATGGGGCTGGGCCCTGCCATCGCCCCTCATGGACCCACAGTGATCTCGTGGCTCAGGCTGCTGGGTCTCTCACAGTAAATCAAGAGCCCCGTGCCTCCCACTCCAGCTTTACTCCCCACCCTCCATTTCAGCCAAGCAGGCCAACCTCAGCACCACCTTGGGTCTCTATACTCGCTGACCTCCGCCTACATGGTGCTTACCCACAGTCCCTCCCTCCACCCAGTTTTTGCCTAGATGTCACTTTGCTGACTAGTGACCCTCACTCTCACACCCTCTCTCCTACTCTGCTTAACCTTCCCAGCCATCACGGGTGTGCTGCACCTGTTTACATGTCTTCCTTCTCTGGAAGGTTCTAGAAGAGCCAGCCTTCCTGTGTGGGGTGCCTGTGGGATCTGAACTGGCTGCATGCCTCCTAAGTGGCTAAGGCCTGGAGCTGACCGGCCCAACGTGGGGGCCACGCGCCACATCTGGCCACTGAACACTACAAACGTGGCGCGTGAGCATCCAGAAGTGCTCGGAGTATAGAACATGTGCTGGATCTTCAATACTTAGTGAGAAAGCAAAAGGCAAAGGGATCTTGTCATCTTTCACGCTGTGTATTACGTTGACATGGTGTCCTGGCTATGCTTGGGCTATACCGAATTACACAAAACAGATTATGAAAACAAACCTTGCATGCTTCTTTTTGCTTTTTAAAAAACGTGGCCACACGATGTCTGCCACTACACACGGGGCACACACTCTAGTTCGAATGGGCAGTGCTGACTTGGGAGTGCTGGGCGGGAGGAAATGACAATGGGTCTGTGGTTTATGGGGCAAAACCACGGATCTCCTTTGCGGATTGGCTGGAAACATACTCCAAGGTTTTGCCGAAGATGGACTTAGCCACAGTGTAAATAAAGGCATGCGCATTTTAAGGAAATTGTGTGATGTAACGGGGCTGGAGGGATGAATGGGAGAAGTCAGCAAGAATCCGGTTTGACTTCGATGGGAAGAGGGACAGAGACCGATGACTCCCCTTTCCTCGTCTCAAGGACTGCCCCCCCACCCCCAGCTGAGGGACTGTGCGCAACAACACTTGGAGAGGTACGTGATGGGGTTCAGAGCATGGGCCCCAGAGTCAGACAGACCTGTCATCCCATCTGCCTTTTTCCAGGTGCATCACCCTGGGCAAGGTGCTTTGTATCCCTAGGCCTCAGTTTCTTCTCCTGGAAAGTGGGACAGCAGGAGCACCGAGCTCATCGGGCTGTGGTGAGGAGCACCGCACAGCTGGGTCTCTCTGGCTTGGCTCCACACAAGCCCAGGAGAGGCAGGCCTGGAGCACGGAGAGGATACTTCCAGAGAAGGCTCCTAGGATGCTCACAACTTCGGCCTGAGGCCTGGGGCCTGTAGAGGACCCCAAAACCACGGCCCCTCCCCTGCTCTTTCTCCCCTTCCGATCAACCTAGAGCCAGGTGCGTCAGACGGGACGTCCACTCACGTGGTCAAACACTTGACTCTTGGTGGCACTGTACTTCTGTGCGATGGCGTCGGCCACAGCATTTGGGCCCATGAACAGCGTGTTCCAATTGTGAGAGCTGAGAGGCAGAGGCAGAATGCGGATGTCAGACTAAGGCTGAACGAGCAGAGTATTTTCTCCGAGACAAAAGCTCTAAGAAACAAGTTCATCACCTGCCCTTCTAAGCCCCCAAAGCCTCCTCCTCCTCCTGCCAACTTACCTGGTGTGGATGGGCCAAGGACCGAGGGCCTGGACACATGAGCAAGGACGATACAATCCCTGACACTGGACAAGCACTTACTTTGTGCCAGGGACCCAGCACTTTGCTTGTATCAGTTCATTCAATTCTTCCAACCCCAAGAAAGTAAGGCACCACTGTGATTCTCCCCATTAAGCCGATGAGGCAAGTGGGGCTCAGCAAGGTCATGGAGGAGAGGCTAAACCCATCCCAAGGGGCCAGAGCACGCAGGCGGCTGGAGGAGCAGGGCCCAGAGGGTGGCAGTGGGTAAGGACCTGGAGCTGTTGGCTTTGTCTTTAGATTCTTTCTTCTTCTTATAAGACGATGACCCTGGGGTGTCCACGTCCTCGCTGGCTTCCTTCTTGATGGTGGATGGTAACACGTGGAGCATCCTTCCCTGGTTGGGGATGATGAGAAGAGGATGGGGGTGGGGGTGGGTCCACATCCTGCCCCAAGACATTAGTGCTAAGACCCTAGTCAGGAGATGCTGCCTCTGGGAAAACCCCCACATGGCCACCCTCACACCAGAATGGGGGCCTGGCCACATGATTCAGGGAGATATCTGACGCAGCCTCACGACAGAAATTGAGCATCTTATGAAAACCCCACAGCAGCCCTCACCCCCTCAAACCCGGGCTCCCTCCTGGCCCCGCACTCCGAAGCGAGGACTCCACGTGGGTGGGAGCCAGGTCCAGCTGGGCAGCCCCAGGAGACCAATAAATCACGAATGAATGAATGAGTAGGGAGAAAAAGGAGAAAGGGAGCACAAGTTGGCCTGGGCTTGAGCAGGTGGGCAAAGAAAACTACGCAGTAACACTGGAAAAGAAGAAGAGTTTCTTACGTTCTATTGTGCCTGTTTAACATGACCGGCTCCAAACTCTCCTTCCCACTTCTCTCCCAAGCGATATTTCTGGGCATGGAGAGCATATGTATTCATTTAACAAAGAGTTTTCAAGCCTCCACAGTGCACCAGGCGCTGTCCTAGGTGCTGAAGGGCCCTGCCCTCGGGGAGCTCCCCTCCACCGGCTCCTGTGAGGCAGCGGCTTTGCACACCGTCTGCGTTTTCTTAGAAATGTGGGCGCTCGTGCGTGTGGACCCACACATCCTTTCTCCATCACCTGAGCCCAGCCACCCTCCGCCAGCCCAGAGCAGTTACCTGGAACACCTGCCCATCCACTTCCGCGTAGGCCCTCACGGCGTGCTCAGGGAACATGAAGGTAACGAAGGCGAAGCCCTTGGGTTTCTTGGTCAGGCTGTCGATGGGGTAATGAAGCTCAGACAGAGGACCTGGGGACAGGACAGGTGTCAGCATCCTGGGGGCTGCGGCTGGGCCTGAGTGCTGGGCACCCAGCTCTTCTGGGTGGGTCCCAGCCGCGGTCACCGTGAGACCACCTTAGTGGTCGAAAGTGGCCTTTCTCAGTCCTTTACGAGTCTACCCTCCATCTCAAATGCTAACTCCGTTCCCTTCAACAGCCACGACCTTACAAACATGCAGCCCTGCATGCTGAGTTGAGCCTCAGGCCTTCCCGTTCTTGCCTGCGAAATAGCAGCGACCATGACAAAACAAGACCCTATCATATCCCCTTGGGACGCTTGGCGTGGGGAGCAAGGTCTCAGACAGTGGAGCTCAGGCCGAGGAGCCCTGTTGCATCTGCACCCCCGCACCCCCTCCCGTGCTGGGACTTCACACTCCGAGCAGCGAGAGTTCGGCCAGCAAGGGCTAACTCAGGAGATCGTCTCCAAATCTGGTCTGTTCTGTGTTTAGACAGCGAGAGCAAGGAGACACAGGGTTTAGACAGCTCTCGACGCCCGTGACACGACCTTCTCTCAGGAGCCCTGCTAACCCCCGCATCCAGGACGTGGGAGCGCTCCCAGCCGCTCAGGGATCATGGGCCCCATCTATGGAGGATGGAACGGAGTGAGAGGGGGAAGCCGTCTGCCTGCGGTCAGGAGCTGATGGGAGGTGGGCCCTCCTGGAGCCCAGGCTGACGGCTCGCACACTACGTGCTAGGAGAGCCGGAGGTGGAGGCCCTACCGAATTTGGAGAAGAGCTGCTCCAGGTCCTCCTCGGTGCTGGTGTAGGGCAGGTTTCGGATGAAGAGCCTCCCGGAGTCGGCCAGGTCCTCCTCCTCTTCATTCTCCCCGAGGGTCCGGCCTTGCCAGGGTCTGGCGCTACTCTTCAGGGGCGCCTGGGCCGTAGGGACGTTCTTTTCCCTGAATACCTCAATGTAGCGCCCGCCTGCAGGAGGACAGGAGTCAGGGCTCTGGGGCAGGCCCAGAACTTGCCTGCGACTCCTGGGTGGTGATCCAAACTCTCCTTTGCAGCCTTCCAGAGGCCACGGCCAAGGCAAGAGTGCTGGCACCCAGCTCTGTTACCGGGGTGGAGGTTCTGGGCCAGGACTAGGCATGAACTGGAAGGACTGTCTCCCCGAATCTCACTCATCCTGCATATCTGGCTTTAACCGTGGTGGGGGGAGGGGGCGGCTGCCTGGTCACCCCAGGCCACCGTGCTGTATCCTCTACCCCTCAGGGCACACTCCCTGGCTCTGCCTGAGCCAAGGTGTCCCCAGGACAGCCCATCCTGGAGGACTGCCTCGCACTGCTGATGAACGGCCTCTGTGCACCGTCCCACAAAGCCAGAGCTTGCCCCCGCTGCTCCTCTGGGTTTTGCTCCAATGTCACCTTCTCACCGAGGCCCAAGCAGATGCAATCCTATTCGAAAACGCACCTGCTCCAATCCCAGCCCATCTGCTGGCTGCTTGTCTCTCCCCGCTCTACAGCAGCGAACTCCTACCTCCTAACTCCTACCTCCAGCTACCTCCTACCTCCAGATGTTTTGGTCTATTCTGCTCACTGCTGTATCCCCGGTGTCTAGACCAGTGTCGGGCACACAGCAGACCCTCCCCCAAAACATACGGAGTGACCGAATGAGCGAGCGAAGCCCTGCCACCAGGCCGAGGCTGGCCCCTTACCCATGTACTCCCTGTGGCATCTCAGAGCTTGCTTGACTTCCTCTTCGCTGCTAAAGTCCACAAAGATGTACCCTGGGAGGGGACAGTGACAAAAGGGAGGCTGCAGACACTGGCGGGAGTTTCACAGGAACACCCACACTGTGCTGGCTGGCTGGGGAATCTGAGCAGAAAGTGGGGGAAAACCCCTATGCTTGCCAAGCCTCCAAACACAAGCGGACTCTCCCCACCGCACCCCTAGCCACACCTCTCCTTGCAGGCAGTGCTGAGACCCCACGGGCTAGTCTCACAGACGAAGGTGCCAACCACCGGGGCCTGCAGCTCCCTTCTTGCCTCACCCCACCTGCACCAGGGCTCGCTCCACGGTCTCCCCTGGAGGAGACGAGCCGAGGTGGAAGCGTGTGACCTCCCATCCGCCACCTCACAGGGCCTCAACCCCATGAGCGGCAGAGCGGCAGGGCTAAGAGATAGCGGTGTCGTAATGTGGTCCTAAGCCCAGGGGATTAGGGCTCCATCACAAGGCTCTTTATTGCCTCTTAGGATTCCTCCTTCCTCTCTGTTCCCAAAGGCAGGCACCTCATCTATCCCCATAAATGTCCCCCATCCTCTCCCTTCCCTCTCCGCCACACCCCAGCCTGCCCTCCCCAGTTCCTGCCCCTCGTGGGCCCGGCCCCAGGACCCTTCTGTCACCAGCCAGGGACTGTCCCGTATCCAACTGCGGCCTCCCCATGCTTTAAGCCTCCGCTGCGCTCCTGTACCCCGGCTGGAGTCCATGGTCATTAGTAAGCCCCCGGCCTTGGGCTCTTCTGAGGTGTCATTAGTAACCCCCCCGGCCTCACCAGCTCTTCTGAGGGGACATTCTGTCACTCCTCAAAAGCGTTATGCTCCCATGCCAGCTCCCTCCAGCTCCCAGGCCTCCAATACAGTTTTCTCTCAGCCCTGACAGCTCTGATATGCTCCTTCCTGCTCCCCCTTGCCAGCCCCTGCTCACCCTGTGGTCTTCAAAGTACCATGAAAACAGGGGCACCCCCTCCTCCACCACCACCACCACCACCACTATTAACAGCAGCTCTCAGGGAGTATGTGGGAGGCGTTCAGCAGAGTTTAAATGCTGTGTGTGTGCTAACCCACTGAGTCTCCACAGTGGAACGGACTAGGTAGGACTGCCCCATTGCACAGATGAGGGGAGAGAGGCCAAGCCCCTCATTCAGGGTCATGGGGCCCATCAGTGGCTGAGCTGGGATCTGAGCCCGGGCAGGCGCTTGTCACCTGCTCCTTTACTGCACTCGGGTAAGTGTGCAAGGAGACGGAGCTGGCCGGCTGAACGGCGCTGCCTAGGAAGCAGGGCTTCATGCTCAGAGAGCGAGGGAGGATACGCAGATACTCAAAGGTGACTAAGACCATCCCTAAAGCAGGGGCCCTTTCTTCCCCGAACACCAGCCCCCACAGTTCCCACCCCCTCTGCCCAGGCGGGAGTCTTCTTGCCAAGGACACCCTGCCTTCCGGTTGCTGCCTGGCCTTCCCCAGCCAGAGGCCCCCAGGGTGGCTCTCAGGAGGGCACCAAGTAAGCACAGGCAGGCCTCCAGCTCTCCAAGCTCAGACCCTTCCTGCCAGCGTGCTCCCTACGCCTCTGAAGCCTAGGGAGGGGGCTGGCCACCCAGAGCGGGGAAGGCAGTGGGGAGGGCGGCCTGGGGCAACACCACACTCCTCGGCAACCCACAGCACTGCCCATGGACTTGGCCGAGTAAAGCCCTGGGACAGGGGCATGTGTTTAAATGGAACAGGTGAGCCCATGAGCACAAGCATAGGCTGAGAGCAAGGACGGGAATGGGGGTTCAAAGAGGGTAGAGCAGGGGCAGCTACATACAAGACCATCAGAGGCAGACCCTTGTCCCCAGTGCTTGAACACGTCCACTGAACTGGGGACACAAAGAACAAACACAGCAGCTACCCTAAAAACATCCCCCCGGGGCGGCTGCCCCAGCCTCCCATCTATGCCCTCTGTCTCCCCAAACCCACCCCACAGAGGGCCCAGGCCTTACCTGTTTTGTTCCCATGAGCATTCCTCACTATCCGAATGGCCACTGGTCTCAGGGGTGCCAGGAATTCCGTAACGTTCTTCTGCAAGCAGAAAGGATTTCCCTCCTTTATCAAGCCTGGTAACAGGTGCACCCCAATGAAGAAACGTGGGCCAAATTTCCAAATTCAGAAAGGTCCCCATGGTGTTTCACTGCTAAACACAGAGCTTTTCTCCATCATGCAATAAAACTACCTTAGATAAGCTTAGAACAAAAAATCAGAAGAGTGAAAAATACAGATCTATATATAAAATAGTATCATCCCGGGGCACCTGGGCGGCTCAGTGGGTTAAAGCCTCTGCCTTCAGCTCAGGTCATGATCTCAGGGTCCTGGGATCGAGCCCCACATTGGGCTCTCTGCTCAGCAGGGAGCCTGCTTCCCTTCTCTCTCTCTCTGCCTGCCTCTCTGCCTACTTGTGATCTGTGTCTGTCAAATAAATAAATAAAATCTTAAAAAAGAAAACCTTTTATTAGAGTATCTATAAAGCCTCCCTACACACACACACACACACACACACAAACACACAAATATTCCTCAGACTATCTAAAGGTAGGTTTTCTTTCTGTTTTATATACAAACCATTTCTTCTATTACATTTTGTTTTTATTCACGGAGAAGAAAAAAGTGACTATTTTTTTATTAATTAGTTTTGGAAAAAGCCATCTAGTGTTTCCTTTTTTTTTTTTTTTTTTTAATTAAAGCATGATTTTCTGTGTGTTTGGTATTAAAACTAAAGTGTGGCACATTGAAACAGTAGAACATAGTGCATCATGAAAAAGAATGTCCTGATCTGGAAGATTCCCCATGCTGTACCATCAAGTAAAAAATGCAATGTACAGAAGAGTGTGGATAGATGGAATTCTTTTTTCCAGAAGGACTCTACCAGCTAACTCAGAGACTCCAGAGTGTGACCCAAATGCTGATGGCATAGAGGAACTTTGCTAAGCTTCATTTTTAAAAATTAGTAAATATACAGACTATCAAAAGAGATGAACACTTCAAGAGGAAAAAAAGGGCAAAGATACGGCCAGGCACCGTGTAAAGGAAATGTATGATGATTTACCAACGTGAGTAATCGACCCCACCAATAATTTAAAACATAAATTAAAATGAGACACCATTTTTGTCTGTCACCTTGATAAAGATGAACACCCAGCGTCCCCAGAAGTGGGCATTTTCATACTCCGCTGAAGGGAGTATAAATTAGCAATGCTTCCAGAGGACAACTGACATTTTCCATCAAAGCCTTGAATATGTCCATGCATGGGCTTACATAAAATACCGCACGCAAGGGCTGGCGAACTATGGCCCACAGGCCAAATATTGCCCATGGCCTGCTTTGGTATGACCTGCAAGCTAAGAATGGTTTCTGTATTTTTGAAGGGTTATTTTAAAAGAGAGAAGAAATGTGATCCAAGCACCATATGACCCCCAAAGCCTAAAATCTATGCTATCTGATCTTTACTCCCACAAAAAAAAAAAAAAAAAAAAAAAAATCCGCTCATGTCCAGTCTCAAGGAATGATGACTGCATTTTTATTAATAGCAGAAGCCTGGAAACAACCCCCATGCTCCACCTCGGGGGATGGGTGAGAATATTGTAATGTGTCCAGAGTAAGAAAAAACATATAATGTGAACAATGATATCGTAGCAGAAAATTCAATATGCAAAAATATTTTTAACATATTGTGGTAACGGAGGAAAAAAGTTTCAAAATAGTTCTTACTGTAGAAATGCTTTATAAAACTAAACAACAGAGGTCAGCGTTTATATACAAAGAAAAAGCGTCTAACAAGATATGATTAGTGGTTGTCACTGAGTGGGATATAAAGTGTCTGTGAGTGTGTGTGTGTGTGTGTGTGTGTGTGTGTGTGTGTGTAATGTTGCCCCACCTTGCTTGGGACCATCAGTAACTACACCTGCACAAAGTAGATGTACGTCCTGGCACCCTAACCCTATCTGGTTAGCACTGCTCTCACTCTCAACTCAGCTAGAGGATATTTAATATGGTCATCTTAGTTAAAGATCACTTCACTTCTCTTCACTTAGCTACTTTTAAAAATTTTCCTACACTGAACTTCTATCACCTACACGAGGAAGTAAATTAAAAAACTATGCTATGTAAACCCAGAGTCAGCCGACTACAGTATGTGGGCCAAATGTGGCCCGCAGCTCATTTTTGTCAATAAAGTTTTATTGGCACACAACCATGACTGTTTGTGTACCTACTGTCTAGGGCTGCCTCAGTGCTACAACAGTGGGGTTAAGTAGTCACCACACTGATCACAAATCATCTGGCTCATCCTTTAAAAACAATTTTTTTAAGACTTATTTTTGAAAGAGTGCAGGGGGTCGGGGGCTAGGAAGGGCAGAGAGGGGGAGGGAGAATCCCAAGTAGACTCCACACTGAGCGCTGAGCCCAACACAGGCTTCATCTCATGACTCTGAGATCACGACCTGAGTTAATATCAAGAGTTGGGATGCTTAGCCAACTGAGCCACCCAGACACCCTTAAAATTTTTTCAGAGTGCTTGCCACTTCTAACGTACAGGACCAGAGAGTGAAACCAGTATTTCTTGGTCTCTGTAGAGCCGTCTCTGTTTCCTGATTCTGAGATCGTACTTTGCCTTTCTGACCCCAGTTCCTCCCAGATCAAGTCTTCAATGATTCTAAAGCCCCCACGTACCAGAGCCTCCTGGCATCCTCCTCCCCGCCTCCCATGTCCCGGGGTCTCCTTGCCATTGTTGCATTGTTGGTCGTACCTCTGTGACATTGAATGGGGCTCCCCGCAGCTTCACAGTGTAGGGGGTGGTGGGTTCCTTCTGGTTTGCTGGTTTGTCTGCCTGAGTGATGGCAAGAACAGAAATGGTCCCAGTGAGTTCCTGGGGACAGCTGCAGGAGGAGGCAGGGCCAGACGTCTCAGTGAGACACCTGCTTCCAGGGCGAGCCAGGGAACGCAAACAAGCATTGTGCCTGCTATGCTGGGCAGTCTGCCTGGAGGGGGAGGTAAGGGTGCACCAGCAGGGCCTTCAGGCTACGAGGAGGGGCAGAGAGCCTCGGGTGGAGCCTTGAGATACTCAGCTATTCGCTGCCATGGATTTAGGGCTTAACTCTGGGCCAGACACTGGCCCAAAGCACTTTGTAAATACTGCTGTTCTACTGAACCCTCAAAGCAACTTCAAAGGGTATGGGTTCAGGATCCTCTTTGTAATTCTGTATCCAGATAGTCCTAAAGAAATCTAAATTTTCCAGAATTCCTTTGGCAACAAAACTTGCCGTGACTTAAAGTCACTGGCCAGTAAAATCTGCTCTGAGGGGACGTGAGGCAATATGACATCTGCCTTTACCCCGGTAGCAGGAGTGGTCATTCCTGGTTTCATTGCAGAAACAGACGTGAACAGATACGTGCCTGATTAGGGGGTGCTGTCCCAGACCCCCCTGGGAGTGTGACACCGCATGAGGCACTGAGGTGTCTTCTTGAACTCAGAAACTGCGAGCGCCAGCATGCGCTTAGGCACGGGGGTTTGGGAAACCAGACATGGGGCCTGCTGCTAGGCTGAGCGTCCTCTTAGGTGAGGACCAGTGGCCCGAGGAGCAGCACCTCTCCCCAGGTCCCACGGCCACTCTGGGTCAGAACTGGGGTTTGAACCCATAGTTCTCTGACTTCGCCAGACTCGCCTACCTCTCCGGAATATCCATTTTTAGGACAAAAGGAGGGTGTGGTCATGAGAAGGGGCCGTAAATCAAGGAGTGAGGGGGACAAGGAAAAGAGAAGAGATGATGTCTGTAGCCTTGAAGAGGGCCGGGTGGGAAAGAAAGAGGGAGGTGAGGGGACGGGGGCCCCAATGTGACCTGCCCTGTCTCTGAGCAGAGGAAGCCCAGGTGGGAGACAAGGTGGCTGCCCCTGAAGGTAGCACCCACATCTATAACATAGACTTCGGAGCCCAGAGGGCCTGGGTTCAAGCCTGACCCCAGCACTTCCTAGCCGTGACCTTGGACAAGTCTTTTTCCTTCGCTGGGCCTCAGGTTCCTCCCCTGTAAAACGGGACAAGAATCCCTGCACACCCCCACTCCCTGGAAGGCTGTCGTAAGACTTAATGACAAATGACCAAGCCGGCATCATACCCAGCACGTGGCAAGCAGTCCACTAACTCCATCTCTTATGGCCATCGTGGTTCCCATCTGCCTTCCCTGCCATGGAGCGCCGAGCATCACACGCCCCTGCCCCGCCCGCAGCTCGCGAACGCCCCGCGGCCGCAGAAGGCAGACAGCCGCTCCACGTTGCCACAGAAAACAGACTCAGAGGGGAGAAGTGCTTGTCCAAGGTCACACGGCAGGCACGCGGCAGAGCTGAGGGTTGAAGGCGGGCCCCGCAGGGAACGTGGGAGAGGACCAGGGCAGCTGTCTCCCCTCCTCCCTCTGCCTCCCAAGCACCAGTGCACACCCCCATGCACACACCTCCGCTCTGGCTGCCCCCGCTGTCTCGTTCCTGGACGGGCTGCCCCGCACTGGACCGGCCCCTGGCCTCCCTCTGTCCTGCTGGGTGGGCACGGGGCCGGGAGCCTCCTCCTTCTCCTCCTCGGCCCCGCTCCCGGCCCCACAGCTCACGGCCTCATCTTCACTCTCCTCCTCTTCCGAGGACGACGGTGACTGGGACTTCACCACCTTGGATTTCAGGTAATCCATGTCCGATAGCTCCATCTGCATGGCTGCCCTGGGTTCGCGGTCCCCCTCCTCTGCAAAAATGGGGGGCTTGGAGTTAGCGACGGGCGCTGGCCAAGCAGAGGCGTGGAAGGACAAGACGGCCTGGCATGGCGGCCCGGGGCGCTGAGCAGCCCTGATGGGGCCTCTGATACACAACGTTAAACGGGGTCTAACCGCTGGGGGTTCTGACAAGTCACATGCCACAAGTGGAGAGAGTTCCGTGGCTCCCTGCACGGCTCCCTGCACTGGCCCCGCCCTCGCCAGCCTGCTCTTTCAGCGGTGGCCGGCGCGATCATCTAGAGAGACAGGACTGTTCACTTCTCACCTACTAGCTTCCAGTGGCTTCCAGATGCTCACAGGACACTCACGCTTATCAGGCTGGTGTGAACTGACTGGCTTCCTCCCAGCTCCACCTCGTCCTCTCCAGCCGCCCCGAACCATGTAGGCCCCCCTCAAACGCCTGTGCTGCCCCGTCCCCCGTGCCCGGCCATGCTCTTCCCTCTGCCGGCCACCCCCCTTCTGCCCCTTCCCTACCATATCCCACCCACTCCCAGCGAGTCCTCCAGACTCGTTTTGCCCAGAAACTTCACCAGGCATAAAATTCACCTTCAATCCATTGTCTTGCCTTCGGGCAAAATCGATGCCCGACCCACAACCAGAGCAGTGACCACTGCAAACGCTCCCGTTCCCATCTGCCCCCACGCTACGCCGTGAGCCTCTTCTGAGGACAGAAGCCCCCTCCCTCCTCACAATACGGAATTAAGTCCAGTATAAAGGATGATATCTGAAGATAAGCGCCGCAGCGAGAAAGCAGTAAAGGGGGGTAGGAGAGCTCCCGGGGAAGGCCTCCGAGGAGGGGGCCCTCGAGCACAAGCTTAATTCTGTATTGTTTCTTTCCCCTGACCTTCCAGCTCCAGGAGAGGACTCTTCTTTGCTCACTGCTATATCCTCGAGGCCCAAACCAGCGCCTGGCATTCAGCAGGTGCTCAATAAATACTTGACCGACTGTGACCAGCATGGGTCGGGGCAGACCCTGGGTGGGATAATCACCCCAGAGAGGACAGTGTCTCTCACGTCATCTCCCATGTCTGGCACCCAGGTCACAGCCACCCGGGCTGGGACACACACACAGGCGCACACTCTGCGTGGATGGGTGCACGTGGATGCCCTCACCTTCCGGGTCCTCGCCAGCACCCTCCTCGTCACTCTCCTGCCCCGAGTCGGAGTCGAAGTTCAGGTAGTCACTGACAGCCTTGCTCTTCCCTTTCGAGGCCTCCGTGTCCAGGGCGTCATTGGCCCAAGTGGCTGTCTGCGTCCGCTTCTGGTGCACGGACAGGAACTCCTGGAACTCGGTGTCTTCCTTCAGCTGGCAGCCGCGAAGAGGCGGGGAGAGAAGGGTCAGCTGGGGCACACCCTCCTGACCCCCCGAGAGCAGATGGGAGCATCCCCTGAGCTCATTTCTCCCGGTCTCTAGAGGACCCCTGGGATCAGCTGGTCACACTCATCATCAGACAAGGAGACCAAGAAGCCACAGAGACACAAAGAGGGAGGACAAGAGGCATGCCTCTGCCTGCCAGGCACCACACACTGTCTAAGCCTGCTGCAGCCCTCCTGGTGCCATCCCGGGTACCCCTCCTCTTGGTCCATAGGACACACTCACCTTCTCCAATTCGCTGGCTACCCTTTTTGTCTTGTCATCCTGTAGACAGAAGGCACAGATGGTAAGGGTCCCAGATGAAGGGGGAGACGGGACAGACAGGTTGCCTGGGGAGGGTCCACCTTCGGGAACCATCTGACAGGGAGTCTCTGGTGGTTCCTGCTCCGGCTGCTCTGTCCCCACCCCCCACCCCAGGTGACCATCTTGCTGACACGAGGGATGTGGGTGGGAGTGACCTACGCACTTTCTTGGGTTCTGTAGGGACAGCATCTTTGTCTTTTGAAGGATTCTTGGACTGGCTTGTTTTCTGAGCATGTCTGCTCCAGGCCCGGGGCTTTGTCGGGTCCCCAAACGCCTTGCAGAACTCCACCTGCGTGGGAGAGAGAGGGTGATGGGGACACCTGCCCCCAGCCCAGCACAGGTGCTACCCTCAGCACCTGGAAGCCGGGCTTTTGAAAACAGCAGTTGTCACCTACGAGTGGAGTCGGCTGAAGCAAATTACAATGGACCCTTGAAGGACACGGGGTTAGGGGCACTGACCCTGTGTAAATAGAAGTCTGTGTGTAACTGTCCACTTCCCCCCAACACCAACTACTAATAGCTTCCTGCTGGCTAGAAGCCCTACGGAGAGGAGTTGATTGACACGTAATTTGTACGTCATATGTATAATGCACTGCATTCTTATAGAAAAATGAGCTAAAAGAAAAAGAACACATTAAGAAAACCATAACAGAAAATACATTTATGATACTCTACTGTATCAATGAGAAAAATCCATGTGTAGGGGGGCCAGCACCATTCTGTCCAAGGGTCAGCTGTGGTCACCCTCTGCTGGCCTTTGCTTTCTCCTCCCTGAAGTCATTCCAGTCGCTACACTTAGCAACCAACCGCCCACACTAGGCAGTCCGAGTGCTCTATGAGCGGGAGGACACCGAGCCTCCAGAACAGCGGGAGGGAGGGACCAACACCCTTCCACTTCCCAGATCAGCAAAGTGAGGTCATTTGTCCCAGTCACCCAGGGAGAAGGTAACAGAGTGGGGAGGGGAACTCGGGGGGCCTGGCTCTAGAGCCCGAGTTCTTAGCCACTCAGCCCCCCAGGCTGGCTGACACGGGGTCTGGCACAAGGCAAGGCTAAGCTAACGGCTTCCAGATTCACTATAATTATTGCGCATTGAGCTCGTTGGCCGCAGAGAATGGCTCCGGGGTGATGAGAGAGGTGGGCGGCCACTGAGAAGCCTGCTCAGCGTCAGGCCTGAGCTGACACGACTCCCACGACACAATCCTGAGACGGGCTGCACTTTCTGCCACATTTGGGGGCACCAGCGGCCACCTCTATCCTGGGTTGGTGGGGGGGGCTATCCTCCTGCCACACCCCTTTCTACGGACTTTCAAAATATTTCTGCTGTTTCTGTAGCAATGATATGTGTTCAGTGAAAAAAACTCAAATCAACAGAGAAAAGAACAAGGAAAATGAACAAAAAAAAAAGTTTTTAATCCCAATTCTTATCATCCAGCGAAAGAAACAAATGTTTTGGTAAAAATCCTTCCGCATAGCTCTTTCTATGTTTCACACACGGAGACTAAGAAATATGGTTCTATGTGAATGGAGTCACGTGATACATACTTGTCTAACATCTGGTTTTCTCTTCTCAACCAAGTGTTAAGAATGTTTGACCAAGTCATTAAATGTACATGAGTGACAGGGACAGGACCTCCTCCTTCAGGACAACCCCTGGGCCAGGACGTGGGCCTCCTCTATTTTCCAGAGGTCTCTGGAGCTTCCCCCTCGCAGCCCTGACAACACCGAGTGAAAGCAGCCTATCCACGGGCCAGCCCCACAAGGACGGGGACCAAGGGCACCACGCTTCTCGAAATCCCCAGCATGGTGTGGGTGCTCCCTGTGTATCCGCTGAACGAGTGAGCGACTGACACAGAACAGTGGTTGTCTGAGCATGCTGGGGACAGCAGCACTGGCTTCACCCGTGAGCTTCCTGACCTGCCTATTCTTGGGTCCCAGCCCACCCCCACGCCGACTCCGAAAGTGTTTTAACAAGCTCTCCAAGGGATTCGTATGCGTGACAGGTAGAGAACCAGGGAGACGGACCAAAGACAGCACAGTCTGAAAACAGCTCGGCTGAGGACTAGAGCATGGAGGGAAAGATCAAGGGGTGTCCGTCTCGACAGGCAGGAGAAGCCGACTCACCGAGATCCGGGAGGTGTCGATGAAACTCTTGTTGAAATGGTTCAGTGCCGTCCGGGCCTCTTCCTCCGACTTGAAGCCGATGAAGCCAAACTTACGGAACTTGCCATCTTTGGTGAACTTCAGGCTGCAGTCCGTCAGGGCACCAAAGCAGGCAAACAGCTGCCTGAAACGCTCCTCCTTCATCTACGGCAGAAGGGCGCACTGAGGGAGGGGCAGGGGAGTCCTCTGAGCCAAGGGGACAAAAACGGGCTGGAAACCCTGGACCCTGGGATTCCCCAAGGGCCAACATCGAGGAGGCTGGGGCACAGCGTGCTCTGTAGTGGGACCTGGCTCCAGCTCTGGCCTGAACAGGGACTAGTAGATGAGGAAATCCAGACGCAGGAAGGCTGCAGTGAAATCATCCTACTCTATGGGCTGTTCAAAGGATAAAGAGACCTATTACGTACGGAGCCCAGCACCACAGCCGCTCCCGTCAATACCTGATAATGTTAGCGTAAACGCGTGAATGAATGAATGAATGAATGTGGTAAGTTACATGTGTTTGCTCATGGGGGTAGAGAGAATAATGAAGTACCCCAAAAGACGGCCACATCCAAATCCCTGGGACCTCTGGGACTGTGACTGCACGTGGCCAAAGGGATTTCACAGATGTGATGACATTGAGGATCTCGAGATGGGAGAAGTTATCCTGACTCATCTGGGCAGATCCAATACCGATGTCCCGTTACACAAGGGACACAGGAGGGTCAGGGCTGCAAAAGGCAGTGTGATGGTGGAGACAAAAAAGAGACTGCAAGATGACACACTGCCGGCTTTGACCCTGCAGGGTGTTGCCAAAAGCCACGGAGCACAGGCGGCCCCGAGAAGCTTACAAAAGACCAAGAAACAGATTCTCCCCTAGAGTCTCCAGAAGGAAGGCCAAGTTTGCTAGCACCTTGATTTTAGGATTTCTGCCCTCCAAGACTATAAGATAATAAATGTGTATTGTTTCAAGCCACTAAGTTTGAAATGATTTCTTAACAGTAGCAATAGAAAACTAATTCCTTAATATTATTATTATTTGGTTAAGGGACCCCACATAGAAACTGACTCCCAGTATCTCCCCATCCTCACTCCAGCCAGACCACCAACGCAATTCAGTTGAGTCTTCTTAGCAGTTACTGGGGGATCTGTGTGTGGGTAGTAGTGGGGACACCAAGAACCCCACAGGTAGCCAAAACAAGGTCTAAATTAAAGCAACTAGAGACGCTGGCAGCCCAGAAGGAAGGAAAAACACGTTTTCTATGGCAAGTTCTTAATAGCTCTGATCATTAAAATCTTGGATCACCCTATGAGTTAGGAATTATCCACATTTTAGAGAGAAGAAAATGAAGGTCATCCAGGATAAATGATCTACCCAAGTCTACAGAATCAAGAGCTGTGACTCAGTTAAGATACATAAAAGGCAGTGAATTCATCTTCCCCATTACATGGGAGCAACCACACCCAAGTCTGACCCCATCATTCCTCTGTTAAGAACCTCTTGGCGACTTTCTAACACCAGAGGCTCAAGAATAAGCAAGTACTGTAAAACGTGAGATTCTCCATGATCAACTTAACCCAGCCCTTGAGCACCACCTCTTGTCAAATGCCTTGCAGCCTTTCCTGCTTTTTACTTCTGAAGTTTTACTAATTGTCTCCTCTAGGTGAAATCTTCCCAGCAGGCCTGGGCTAACTCCTCTCATTCTCAGTTCAATCAGCTCCCCCAGGAAGCCTCTCCCGGACTCCCCAGGTAGGTCAGGTAACCCAGCCCTCTGTGCTCACACAGCACTGGGTCATGCTTCTGTCCCTGTCCCTTACACCACGGCGATCTGGTGTGCAAGTCCTCTGCTAGACCGTCAATGCCATAAAGGTATGGGGACTGAGTCTACAAGGTCAGCAACATAACAGGTACTCACTACTAAACACGTGTTGGGAAAGAGCTAAGAAAAGTGCATGCTATCATGTAAAGAGAGACAGTAGGGTGTAGGGGTCAGGAATGCAAATTCCAGAAGAGACTGTTCAATTCAATCCCTGCTCTATGAATTACCCGTTGTGTGTGACCTCAGGCAAGTCACTTCCCCTCGCTGTAGTTCAGTTTCTTCACCTTTAAAATGGACACAAAAATGGAACTGACCTGATAGGGTCAGTTGCTGCAGATTAAATGAGTTACTTTACTGAAAGCAACTGGTACAGTGCCTGGCACATAGTAAGTTCTCAAAATGTTAGCTACTACTATTGGTTTTTCATCAGTTCCTTCATTCACCAGACAAGACAAGCAATGGTAAGAGTCAGTCCAATGAGGGAAGAAGCCCAGTGAAACGGAAGTGGGAGGGGAAGAAAGGGCAGCCATGCTAAAATCCTCATCCATCAAAGTGAGGCATCAAGAGACACTGCCTAGGGGTGCCTGGGTGGCTCATTGAGTTAAGCCTCTGCCTTCGGCTCAGGTCATGATCCCAGGGTCCTGGGATGGAGCCCCTGCATTGGGCTCTCTGCTCAGTGGGGAGCCTGCTCCCCCTCTCTTCTCTGCCTGTCTCTCTGCCTACTTGTGATCTCTGTCAAATAAAAAAATAAAATCTTTAAAAGAGAGAGAGAGAGACAGACATTGCCTAAAGCAGGTGGATGGATCAATAGGTATTTTGAAAGAATTAAAAATAATAATGTAACAGACTGGAAGGGAACAACAGATGTTTGTGGTTCCTTGTCTTTCATGGGGGAGGGTCAGCACATAGCCATTGGGGTAAACAGACCAAGAAATGGAGGAAAAAGCACACCATTTAGACATGGAGTAATACCTGTGAGGAGTCCTAAAAACAAACCATTGAAGACGGTTCCGCCTGGAGAGAGACAGAGGGTAGGACGGAGCAAAAGACTTTGCTTCTCATTTCATACACCATGGTACTGTTTGAATTTTTTTTTTTTTTTTTTTTTTGGTACTGTTCGAATTCTTAAAATCCTGTCATAGCTCTCCCACAACCCACTGGCGGGCGCGGGGGGAGAAAGGTTAAAAAAAAAAACACAAAAAAAAGCAGAAATAACTTTGTGTTATATCCCTCCTTCTAAAGAGAGAGGCTCCTAAGGAGTTAGACTCAAGAGTACAGAAGCTCTCTCATCCCATCCGAAGGGCACATTTTGTGTTTTGGGAATGAGCTTACTGGCCACATGGATGGTGAGGTACAGCTCCCAGACCAAAGTTATAGAAAAATCGGTAAGAATGAACCACTCCAGCGCACTGCCTCCAGTCATCTGACACCACAGGCATGCAGCTACTTCTTCACTCATTCATTCCACATGTTTTTATTGAAGGCCTACCACGTGCCAGGTTCTGTGCTGGTCCCTTGGGAAACAGAGACAAGTATGACTAGGTCACCCCTCCCCACTTATTGGATAAATGGTTTAAAGCTCTTCACAAGCACTCAGTTTTCTTAAATCATGCCCACTGGCCCCAAAGGCGGGATTGGGGATCAAAACGCAGGTCCTCAACCTAATACTCCCCATTTGCCTGTCCAACAAGTTCCAGAGCCGTAGAGGAATATAAGTGCAGGATCTGAACGAGTGACGAGTGAACAGCAACAAAAGTGCGCGTACGAGAGAGGTTGTAGGAGATAAGAGTGTTCGGCACACGTGGGGAGTGTTGGCCCTCTTCCTAGGAAGAGACTTGTCAGGATGGAAGTCAGGTACCCTCGGGCCGGCTGGGAACCCGTGATCTGTCGTTATCTCCCTCTCCCAACTGTCAAATGCGGATATGCCGAGAATCTTGACCCTTCTAGGTTTCGAATGCGCCCTGAGTCCTGCCCCAGGGCCACAGCCCCTCAATTCTCTTCAGCCATCTCCTTCCTGGCCCCCAGGTGGTCCCAATTTCAGATTCCCAAGTCCAGGCCCTGCACTCACCCCATTCGGGAGGTTTTTCACGATCAGTCGCGACATGGCGCACGGCCCCCACTGTTTAGATTCCGGCGCGAGTGGACAGCGTCTTTCACCAACTTTCACGCTCCCGCTCTGGGGGCCGCCATCTTTGGCGAGCCGGAACAAAATCACGTGCTCCACACGTCAGCCCGCCCTCCCCGGAAGCAGGTGTGGCGAACCGGAGGGATCCAAAGAAGTCACACTCCTCAAGGGGCGGGCCTGAGCCCTTGCTTTTTCTGCGCAAGCGCAGGCTGCTGCGCCATGCCCGGAGAAACCTATGCAGCGGCGCGGCCGGCAGGGGGCGCAGGTTCCTAACATTGGCGGGGGTTTGCGTGTGGCGGGCTGGGTGTTTGAGTCCCGGGAACACTTGGAAGCCTTTGTAGCCTCCATCTCTATTATTTTATTATTGAGTCCTAAAGCAGCCCTAGGAAGGGAGGAAGGATTAGGGATGCTTGCCTCCCTTTCAGAGATGGGGAGACTGAGGTTCAGAAAGCCTGCCAGGCGCGGTGAAGCAATGTCTTGAGCATCACTTGCAAATACTATAATGCATTCACGGGAAACAATCGTCTGTGGTTTTGCCTGAGAGTCGCCTGGGAACCAGAGCAAGGCAGCTTGCTCAAAGGCACAGAGCTGTTCTGTATGAAGTAGTGTTCCATAGTTTCAAGAAATAGGATTATGAGGCTCATTGGTTTCCTACAGCTACTGTGACAAATTACCAGAAATTCAGTGACCTTAAACAACAGAAAAGTATTATTTCACAGTTCTGGAGGCAAGAAACCCCAAAGTCAAGGTGTCCTCAGGGCTGAACTCCCCTGGTAGTCTCTAGGGGAAGAGACTTCCTGGCCTCCTCCAGCTCCTGGTGGTGGCTCCAGGGGTCCCTTAACTTGTGCCTGTCTTTGCCTCCTGGTGCCAATGCCTTCCTCCTTGTGTGTGAATCCCGTCTACATCCTTCTCCTTTCTCTTACTGGATTTAGAGTCCATCTCAAATCATCTCAAGATCCTTAACTTTCTACCTGCAAAGAGCTTTCCAACTAAGGTCACATTCATAGGTTCCAGTGGTTAGGGCGTGGTGGTAGATCACTTTGGGGGACACTCTTCAACCCCCCACATGAGGATTTGCTTGTTTAATAGGTTACTTGGAAGATCGAATTTCACCCTCTCCACCTCCGGCAGAAAGTCTTTTGCAGGAAAGCTCACATACACATGTAAAAATGTCCCCTCACGCCTAGAGTAGATGATTAAAGGGGTCACCGTGTTTCGATGCCATTCGTTTATTCAACAGATATTTATTGATATTCATGAAAATGCTGTTTAATTAAATGACAATTAGGGGGTTGTTTTCCACACAGAGACCCTGGTCAGGACGGGATGGAACAGGCTTTACAAGGTAGCTCCGGGATATTAGCCTTTTATGAGGGGGCAAGTACAGGTTGTCCGGCCAGTCCTGGTTTCATGTACTTTTTAAAAATTTTATTATTTTCATGAACTGTCTTTATTAAAGTGTGCAACTAAACGTAGCCTTCCCTAAAGAAATTCACAAATCAGAAGGTCTCTCAAAGGTATTAAAAGAAATGAAATGCTCTCTGCCAATCCGCATGTCCCAACGGGGGGCCAGGAAAATATGGTCGCCACATGTCGGGGATGGAGGGACCGCTTCTGGGCTACGGATCCCCGTGCATTTAATAAACAGTTGTGTTGTAACATGATTATTAGTCTTCTGCTCCCCTGCCTGGCCAGTTTGTCTCCTGCCTCCTTTTCTCTCCCAGCAAATATAATCCAGGAACACCTAGACTTCACCAGGCTTCCCTCTCTGATTAATCCCAAGGATTAATAATCAGGCAGGTCAAAGCCAGCTCCACCCAGGGCTGCCCTCACGAGTGTGCTGGGGACTGTGGGAAGTTGTGTCTAGACCCCGGGGGGAGTTCCCTTTCCAGGAGGGAAAGGCACTCTGCCCCACCATGATCACTACCTTCGGAAAACGCTTCTAGGCAGTAAACTAATAGATACCTAAAATGACTTCAGGCATCATCCTTTCTATTTCAAATGTCTCAACCACCATCCTATGAACACTGAGAAGCCCACCTTCCTTCTCAAAATTTCTTTTGGTGCATGAATTAGATTTTTATGTTTTTTAAGATTTTATTTATTTATTTGACAGAGATCACAAGTAGGCAGAGAGGCAGGCAGAGAGAGAGGGAAGCAGGCTCCCTGCTGAGCAGAGAGCTGGATGTGGGGCTCGATCCCAAATCCCTGGGATCATGACCCAAGCTAAAGGCAGACGTTCAATGACTGAGCCACCCAGGCGCCCCATGCCCAGTTTCCCTTGCCGTTAGCATGGCTCGGGTCCATTTGTCACAATGGAACCTATACTGATACATTGTTATTAATCAATGTCTGTGTGTTCCTTGGATGTCCTCCGTTTTTCCCTGACGTCCTTGATCTCTTCCGAGCATCCCGCTGTTTCCTCCAGGGGCAGCTTTTCTCGGGACCCTGACATCTTCTAATTTCATCAGTCCAGCAAATCTCTGAGGGACTCTTGTGCCCAGTACTGAAGCTACCACAGTTAATAAAACAGGCACCGTCCCTGTGCTCAAGGGACATTGATATTAGACAATTCATGACAAATGCAGTGAGCACTCTGAGAAGTGGGGTACAGTCCCCGGGGGACCCCACTGAGGCTTGTGGAATCTAAAAAGAGCTCCTGGAGGTGACTTGAAGGTCGCGAGAGGCAGCCGGAAGGATGGATGACTTTCCAGCACAGAGAACAGCCTGGAACAGCAAGTGCAAGGTCTGTAAGCAGGGAACAGCATGGCCTGGCCCTGGGAGGCTGAGCGTAGCAGGGGTTCCAGGGAAGGTGATGAAACCCCAAGCCTGAGCCAGAGCGTGGCCCTAGGCTCCGACTCTGGCTTGCCACACACTGGCTAAGTGGTCCCTGAGCTCGTTTCCTTCTCTACAAAGTTGGGTAATGGTAGTACCCAGGGCATAAGCGCCAAGTACAATATGATAACGTGTATGTAAAGCAGCACTTGGGAGCACCTGAATGTCTCTTTCCACTATAACTTAAAACACATTTAATTGAAATATAAGGGCAATCAACACCCACGTAGCCTCACCAGCCTCAGTGGGTATTAACATCACCTCATTGGACATTCACCTCTCTCTCCGTCTTCCTGTTACCACAAAACCATTTGCAATCATCGTGGCTCTTCACCCCAAAACACTTCACATACATTCGATATAGCCACAGTGCAATCATCAAATTCGGGATGTTTAATATTGGTACATTTTTTAAAAGATTTTATTTATTTATTTGACAGACAGGGATCACAAGTAGGCAGAGAGGCAGGCAGAGAGAGAGAGGGGGAAGCAGACTCCCTGCTGAGCAGAAAGCCTGATGTGGGGCTCGATCCCAGGACCCTGAGATCATGACCTGAGCCGAAGGCAGAGGCTTTAACCCACTGAGCCACCCAAGCGCCCCAATACAGTACTTTTTTTAAAAGATATTTATTTATTTATTTGAGAGAAAGAACATGAGCGGGGGGGCGGGGAGAGAAGCAACCACCTTCCTAAACATTGACATTCAGGGAAACTGAAACCCCAGAAGAAGGAAGCACTTGCTCAAGATCCCTTATAAGGCCAGTTTCCAGCTGGGCTCCTCTCGCTCCTCCCCTACCTGTGGCCTTTCGCTGGGGTCCGGCAGTAGGGGTGGCGAGAAAGGTGTTGGAGACTGTTACCCTGTGGATTTCTACCTGACACTTTCCATGTGGTCCCAACAGTCACTGCCCATCTCCCCAGGAACGCTCCCCCCAGAAGAGCATCTCCTCTACTCCCAGGCGCCTGCAGAGGAACCCTGCAGGGCACGGGTGGACAGTGTAACTTGAGACGGGAGACCAGCTGTGAGCCTCCCTCAGCCACACTTGCACGACAGCAGGTAGCTCACCTGTGACAGGTGGCAGCAGAGCCTTGCCCCCCCACCCCCCACCTCTTGGCCCTGCTGGGCGTCCAACCCTGGAGATGTGGGGGCCCTTCCTGCTCTTGGCAGTGAACCATAAAGATTCACCTGGAAACAGAACAGACATCACAAATCATTCATCAACCAGACTGTGGCTGGGGAAAAATGGAACCCATTCTAAGAAGACAAGCCCTTTGGGGTCTTATTCTGGGGTCTGGTGCCTCCAAATGCCAGTGCCCATGTAACCTGGCCTGGGGGCCTGAGACAGGATGGTCTGGGGGTAAGACCAGCATCCTCATCCTTTCTTATTTTTGAGTTGTGCTGAGAGCAGATGCCTCTGTCTCATGTACAGAGGATCAAAAGGCTGATGTGAAAAGGGAGTTCATTTCCTGACCGACCTCAAGGTCCCACGAGGTCCAGCCACTGACCACTGCTCCCACCCGCTCAGCTGCAGCCACACTGGCCCCTCTCTGCTTCTCAAATGTGTGGCCTTATTCTCACCTATTTTGGCAGACTTGTGTCTCTCCCCAAAATATACATAAGTCCTTGGAACCTGTGAGTGTGATCTTATTTGGAAATTAGGTCTTTAAAGATATAATTAGGTCAAGGATCTGGAGATGAGGTCAAACTCAATTTAGGGTGGGCCCTAACCCCAATGACTGGTGTCCTTGTAAGAAGGCCATACAAAGGCACACACAGACAGGGAGAACTCTGTGATGCCGGGAGGCAGGGGATAGGGGGGATGTAGCCACTAGCTGAGAATTGCCAGCAACCACCAGAAGTTGGAAGACGTGAGGAAGGATCCTCCCCTCCAGCTTTCAGAGGGAGCATGGTCCTGCCAACACCTTCATTTGGGATTTCTAATCTCCAGAACCGTGTGAGGACAAATTTCTGTTGTTCTAAGCAGCCCCCCAACTCCAATTACGGTAATTTATTACAGCAGCCCAAGGACACTAACATAACACCCCAGGGCCTTTGTACATCCTGAGCTCTTCCCTCAACTCTTCATCTGAGCAGTCCAGCTCATCCCTTGGGCCTCAGCTTTAACACCTCAGCCCGGAAAGACACCTCCATCTACACTAATTTTGACTCTGAGGACACCCCTTCACATTTCCCAGCTGCTTGTAATTGTATAAGCATTTGCTTGCCTCCAGGTTTAACACTGTTGCTCCTCTACA